TAATCTGGGTGATCCGTTATGTTATGCGCCATGCAATAGTGTTTGGCCGCATGCGGCCAATACGAATGATGCAAACCAGCTTGTTCCAAGTTGGTCCTCGTGCCCTCGATGATCGCCCTGACGTTCCTCTCAGCAATAGCATTCGTTTTGGAAATGTAGTTTGTACTTTGAACATGCTTCCATTCCAATTGGTCCGCCGCTTTCACAAGTTCAGGAGCCCGATCACTGTAAAATACGTTCACGGTTTCCCCGGTGCGGATACAATGCTTGAAAGCCATTACGCACTGATGAGAGGTTTTCCGTGCTGCTGGGTAAACATAACGGAAATCAGTGGCAACATCTCGAACCACAAGTGCAACTCTAGATTGATCAATGCCGATTTCACGATCATCTGATGTGATAAGATGGTCCGCCGTAAGGTGATCACCAAACTTCTTGGCCTCGACTTGAGTGGAACCTCCCTTTTGTCTTGATGGGTATTTGTACATCTTCGCCCTGTTACAAGTCTCGCAAAAGGGGTTCTTTGGAGTGTGACACATCAAGTGCTGGAGTGAGGTCGCCTCATCACGCAAAGCTGCTTCCCCGCGTTCGCGAGGGGCATCCTTCAAAATGGGCTTAGACACAAAATCGGAAGCGATGACCTTAGGCGCGTCTTCAGAGGGAATGTCATGGCACTTTTCAATGACCTCACCTTCCGGTTGGCTGATGGTGTCCTCAAGCAAGAAATCATCGTTTCCCAATTCATCCCCATCATCCTCATTGGTCACAAGCACCTCTTCATCAGCTTCTGGTTCCTCGTCAATGACTAGAACTTCATCCTCAATTTCAATGGGAGCTGATGGTAATGATGTAACCTTCGGAATGCTCTGTGACAAAGCGGGAACAGCATTTTTCAAGCTTGATGCGTGAACCATCCGGAAGTCGGAAATAAGGTCTGCTGTGAGCTCTCCAAACGAAATCATATCCGTCCTTGAGGCATCTCATACCCACGGACAACACGGAAGGAGCCTTGTCAAGAACATATGGCCGAACAACACTATCGGTCTGTTGGATCTTGACCCTGGCCTGCTTGGTACCGATGATATTCCCATTGGCTGTGGAAAATTTCAGAGGTTGAGACGATTCGTAAATACACTCCACTTCCGCATCGGTCCCCGACAGCAAATCCTGAGAAGCTCCTGTATCCGCGATCCACGGAATGTGAGAAGAATCCATTGTCATACGGGCAACAGCAGCTTTCCCCCTTTTGGGGGAAGTCTCGGTCTTCTCTGGCTCAGCCGTTAGGCCTGCGGGGATGCAGGAATCGCAGCCGAAATCAGAGTCGCATTGAAATTTGCAAGAAGTCTTCGTGCCTTTGAGCAAATCCTTCACCATAGCTTCATGCATAACGCCGACAAGAGTTGCGTCTGAAATAGCTCTCTCATCGAACTTCGGAATAAAATCAACAGGAAACTCATGCGCAAACCTTCTCGACGAGGCAGTGTGGGGCCAAAGCTCGCCGTCAGTCTCATAGTTCGAAATAGACGGGTAATCAGAGAATTGCACACACTTCTTGATACATGGCATGCCCTGGGAAATATCATGAGTCACACTAGGCAGGCAAGGATACGAGGCGACCGAGTCGAGGGTCGCGGCGCACACCATCGCCTGGAGGAGGCACACCGCGGCATTGCTGCCTTTTGACGATCGCGGAGACTTGAGGGACTGAGAACCCTTCGAACCTTTCGAATCTTGAGAAGAAGGCCTGCTATCCTTCTTCCCCTTTTTCTTTTTCTTGTCTCTCGGCGACGCCTTGGGGGTGTCTCCACTAGTGGTCTTCTCGGCCTTTGGGGCTGGAGCTGCCTTGGAAGTTGCGGGGTGTTGCCATGGGCAATCTTTCCCTCTCTCGCATCTGTTCGCTTTGAAGAACTTGCACACCTGGGGCTTGGAACCAGGAGGACTCTGCGAACGATACTTCCTTGGCGTCTGGGATCTCGATCCGCCCTTCTTGCCTTTCCCCTTACCTTTCGGTGCCTTAACATGTTCGAATCGGCAGTCTGAACCATAGGTGCACTGGCCAGTTTGAAATTTCACACATACACCCTTGGGGATTCCAGGAACTGCAGGGTTGTTCGATGGAGTCCTGCCACGTCCCGTTGTGTTGCTTGACATAGCATCGCGCATGTGAACAAGCCTCTTGCGCTCCAAATAATTCCTCGATGCGTCAATCAAGAATTTATAGGAGTGCTTTTCCGTCCCTTCCTCAGCCCGCTCATACTCATTGAGATCATGACTGAGAGGCCGAAACTTTCGAATCTGGCGGTGGAACAGCGCTTCAAGGGTCTTCTCGTTCTGCTCGTTGCCCATTCCAGCGATGACCGTGTCCCATCTTGTCATAAAGTTCTTGAGGTCCTCGTTGATGAGCTGGACAGAGAGCAGGTCCTCGAAGTCGTAAATTGCACCATGTTTGATGTTCGTGCTGAAATGCTTGTGAACCATCATAAGAATTTGGCGCCCCCTCGCGTAGCGTTTCTCCTTTGCTTCTTGTTCTTTGAAAATGTCGACTTGCCGCGCGAGGTCGCCCTCCAAGATGTTCGTCAACGCCGATGCCAGCTTTGCATCAAGATGGACAAACATTCCTGAATCACGAAGGACTTCGACAGTTTGACCTGGGATCCAAGTTGCCTCAATCCACTCAAATGCCTTTTCGGGTTGGTCGGAAGTAGCAACAACAGCATCCCTAACTTTGATCCTCCAATTACGGTACTGTTCGGGCTTCGGGAATCGGGGAATCTGAATTCTGTCACCCTCCTTTACACGAACGCGTTCCGCTGTCGGATCGCTCGAATTACCTAGGTGCTTCAGTAGCTTTCGTCGAAAGGATTCATCCGATGCGGTCGAAGTTGATGATGAAGACGACGAGGGAGAAGATGATGGATCTCGTCGCCGGCGTCGGCTACGGTCCTTCTTCTTTTTCTTCTTCTTCTTTTTCTTGTCCTTGTCATTTCCACCATCACCATCATCGCAAGGCCAACCGTCTCCGGTAGCAGCATCGTCCACGGCCCCGGCGGGAACTGATCCGTCTTTGCCGTAGGGGTCGCTCCCGACCTTCGTCCAACTGTGTGAGGAAGCATTCGAAAGTCCGGGTGGAGATGCGGCCAAAGGAACTGTCGGGATAGCCAAGGGGGTAGCTGGTGCCTGCTGAACGGGAGGCGCAGGGGCTGGAGCAGGTTGAGCAGGCGGTTGCTGGTGATTCTGCATCATCTGCTCAACCATAGCCCTCAGCTCCCTGATCTGCCTCTCCTGCTCGCTGATCGTGTTCATGGCGCTTTGGTACTTCATCTCAGCTTCTCTTTCTGATTTCATGGTGTTCGCACGCTGCTCCGCATTCACTTGAATCTCGCGTCTCATGGCCTCCGATTGGCTTTGAAGTCCGGCAATAATCTCACCATGCCTTGCCTCCGCCATCTGGGCGACCATGGGACCGGTGTCCTGATTCACGAACTGGTTGATCTGGGCATTGTTCTGGGTAGCGTTGATCTGCTGATAGTTCGTCACGTCCTGGTTGATCGTCATCGAAGGATCGAGGTGGACGTTAGCAACATGTTGGTTGAACTGATTCATGGACTGTGGCATAGGGTTTCCCCTTGCGAGATCGGTCTGGGGGTCGTACATGACGATGTCACCATGCCGATGCCGATCTGATCCAACAGGTGAAGGAGATCGAGCACCAGACCGCCCAGTCCTCCCACGGTCACTCCGAGATCGAAGTGATTCGGGGCCCTGACTGCTCAGTGCCTGTCCCTTCTTGATGAGCTCCCTGGCCAATTGGGAGTTTGCTCGACTAGTCGGTTCATATTGCGAGGCGTCTTCATCGCCTGCGGGCTCATCAGATATGGGACGCACCTCGGTATGGGGTAGTCCAGGGTCGCCATCCATGGCGTACAACTCTGTACAAAGAGCCGCTTACGGCTGATAACCTATAGAACAGGTTAAACAACCGGGAAGGGTCACAAATGAACCCTGTACTCAGCGCGCTTTTTACTTGAGCCATACGCAGTCGTAATGATGAGACTGCGCAAGTGAGACATTCATGCATTGGGGTTTTACATGGTTGATAAATACATCACGTTGCAAACTACAATAACCTCATCGCAGTAAGAATAGTGGCAGTTCTCAAACCGCAGCACCCATTTCTGCTAATGCGCTGCTTCACACAAAGTCCACCATTGAAGTGGGGAGCAAAACAAATGTCTCGCGGAAAGTCTGTGGCATTGGATCCAAGCAATGCTTGACTTGTTGTTTGGAGCTTAAAGGAAAGCCAAGCAACAAAGGCCATCTCCAAAACGCCTAACAAAAGGAAAAGCTGCTGGTGATAGGCCAGCGAACGCCAAGTAGTGAGCCCGTGTGATAGGACAGCAGGAGCCCTGCATCGTAAGGACGGCCACATAGCTCCCATCCTCTCGGATTCAATGTTTTACTGGGGAAGTGTGGGCCAGGGACAGCATATCATTGCAGGCGATAACTTACAGCATCTTCCGCATGTTGACAGGTGCCATAGGACTTAAATGGGTCCTGATGTTTCCCACTTAATGCAAAAGTTGCCCTCAAGGCTGCCTCCAGCGGCTCAAGCAAGGGCCTGAACTTCTCGTAGAGGTGGCTGTTGTCCCACGACATCTGCCCACGCCATGCGTCCACCGATGTCGGGGCGATGTGATAAAATGAGACGTTGACCCCCTGACATCAGGTAGCTTTAGGCCCTAGACGGCCACATCTTTGAATGCTTCTCAGAATTTCCGTGGTCAAATGTGGCCAGCATCTGGTCAGCATATGTTCAGCCTGTGCCAGCCTTGCTTTGGTGTTAGCCTTGCTTTGGTGTTAGCCCAGGTTCTGACATGCCCTGCTCAGCGGCTTCGACAAATCCGAGTGTTATGGTTTGGGCCATACAAGCTGGCACGGAAGCTCGTACGTAAAAGGTGCAACTGGCTCGACATGCCAAACTCAGCAACACATCTGTGCACTGATCCAGGATTCTCGTCTGAAGGACCTGGCTTTCATTCACGCCCCGCAGCCAGGCCACATGCGAAGCGCCAACGAGAGCCTGCCCATAATGGGAGAAGACGGTCTTGATGGACTCTTCCGTCAAGTTGGAGGACAAGCCCTGGCGAGGACTGGGACTGCAGCTACGTCTGTAACGGTCTACCAGTCAACAAGTCCTCTGGGGTTCGGAGTGTTTCCCGAAAATGTGGACTTTAAAAGATACAACCGCAGAATGCGTGAACAATTTTGGCAAACGCATAAACACAATCATTCAATGCCGAATGGTTGGGTCGAAGATCAGCTGGCTGCTTGACAACGACTGCGCGGGCCTTGATGATAATCGTGTCTGAAGGTGGGCACCTGGTCTGTAACAAGTGCCCTTGGTGACTTTGAACAACATGAACAGGCGATCAGCGACATCTCAATATTTTGATTGAATGCTTGGATGAGCTGTACTGCTGCCCTGGTTCGTTGGCATGTTTGGTGATGCAAGCAAGGGAGAGGAAGTTCCTGGCTCCTTATTCGAGGCACTACGGCGAAGGAAGACCAAATGCCATGAGACGCGTTGAGCTCCTGGCTCTTCGATGAGACAAGGACACCAATTCAGGCAAACCATGGCAAACCCGTCTGAGCATCCCGGCCCTTCAAGACCTCCTAAGGCCTCAGTCTCTGGCTTTCAAATTGAGCGGATGCCTGTTTTCGGACAAGGCTTTCTGCGGATTCTGCGGATTCGCTGCTACGCAGTGGCAAAATTATCGTGGCGCACCCATCTACGTATTCAAGCTGCAAATCGTTATGCCCAATTCACCTATACAAGCGGCTGCCGATGAGAAGCCAACCATTGGGCTCCTCAAGCCCTAGCACCAGCCGAGCCCCGAGCCATGCCCATGCTGCCCCCTGGGGCTGGTCCTTTGCCTGAGCGAATCCTTGTTTGGTGATTTCAAAGGGAATCCCCGCCATTTGAAGGGAAAACACAACCGCACAAATCCTGCTGGTATTGAAGGGAGTCGCCCAGGGTTGAACCTGATAACTCCAGTGACCAATTACATCCGATAGTTGGAATGAGGTTGCTCATGCAAAGCAATGAGTTTGGTCACCACTCATCCGCTTCAGGACAGAGCTTTGGAAATGACAAGTTCGCCACGCAGAATGGCCGAAGCTAATGCTCTGGCCAGAACTAGCATCCAAAAACAAAACACTATGAGCCATGGAGTGTGCAGTATCCAGCAACAGTCCATCTGTCAGCATGCCACATGCACTACAACATGAGCTCTGCAGGACAATCATGGTAGGGTTCCCTTGCAATATCTTGGCTTCTTCTTTTGATGGTGCCCTGTTCACCTGAAAAAACCACGGGTTTGCCAACCTCAAAAAATCGACCCCTGGGATCCCATGGGCCATGGGAAGCTGAGAGCTGGACCCCAGCCCTTGCTATGGCTGTTGGCCATCCTGACCGTGAGCCTGCGCGAAAGCCAAGCGGTCCGGGACACGACTGAGAAGTGCAGTCGAAAAGCTTGTGGCCTCTACACAAGTTCGGTTGGGGCTTACATGTAGAAGAGTGTATTTGCTTTGGGAAGTTTTCACAACTAATTGTCTTTCAGTGCAGAACGCTTTGGTGTCGGAGCAGGAGTTACATATACGTGTGGCACGTTGCGCGGCACATTGCGAGCTGCTCCCACGTCACCCCAGCGGGCGCACACGCACGGGCCGAACTGCATGTTGTTGGTGGCCGTAATGGCCGCATGTGCCTCACAATCTTGCAGGCAGCCAAAGTCTCGAAGCAAAGTGCCATTCGTGCAGCCAAATAAACTGTCAACACACTGATGGCATGTAGAAATGGCGGCTGTCATTGCGCCCGCAACATGCCATCCATGCGTGATTGCGGTTGTGAAACGCTGATTCGGTGCCTCCTCCAGCGCAGTGAAGTTCACAAAGCCGTACCTTGTGCCATTCTTCGTCCTTGGACTTTGCATCAATGGTAAGTTGCACGTGGGGAAGGCTACTTTCAGCCCCTCTCTCTCTCTCTCTTTTTTGTCTTTTTTTTTGTTTTTCTCTCTCTCTCACTCTCTCTCTCGGTTTCACTTGGGCGAAGTCTGCGCTGAAACACTATGACAAACTGCAAGGCGTTCTGCGCGGGAAGCGCCGGCAAACGGAGCAAGCACCCTCAGTTCCAGACTGCTCTGAAAGCTTGGTGGATGTCACGGTGCCGTACTGAGCGAAGAAGTCCCTCCGCTAAAGGTCGGTGGGCGCGAATCAAGAACAAATATTGTGAAAGGTGAAAACAGGAGCAAACACATCCAACCATTCAACCGCTCAACCAACCTCCAAGTGAATTTGCCGTGCAGGGAATTCCGCAACGCTTGGAATGGGAGCCACCTTTTGCCATTTCATCTCATGCAGCTGGCTGGATCCCCCTGCTTGCTTAAAACCGTTGACTCGGCATTCTCTGAAAACGGCTCGCAGCCCTTGTTTTGGACCACAGCCACTTCAGCCAACTGTTTTGCAGGTGGCTACCGGAATCCTGTTTCCATGATGTTGGATGCAACAGAGCAACTATCTCGGTCTGCCAGTAGCACCCGTTGCTTGTCACGGCTATGCCCTTTCTGGAATGCTGGCAGGTCCCATATAATTGGTCTTTGGCGTGTTGGGACCTTTGAAGGAATTTCTGAATCTCTTTGATGCTTGTGGCCTTGTCTTGTACTCCCCGTGGAAAGGTTCGGACAAAACCCCAGGACGTGGAAGCAATGTGTCCTGACAGCCAAGTCCGAGCGCCTAAATTCCTGCTCGGTGCAAGCTTCCGGGATGCCGGCAACATAGACCTCGATATAGGGAGATGTGACAAACAAGTGGCGTTCAGCTTGAAAAGCGCCCACCCAGGTGCCAACAGTTGATTCAAAAATCACTGGGGCTGCTGCATTCGCATTGGCGTAGCCTCCGCCGGCTCCGCCGCCGGCTCCGCCGCCGGCTCCGCCGCAGCCTCCGCCTCCACAGCCTCCGCAGCCTCCCCAGCCTCCACCCTGAGAGTCACGGAAGTTCTATAACAATGGGATGCGCTGCACTAGGCTCGGCACGCCCCAATTTGGGCCTGGCATACCTGACATGGAAGCATCTTAAGAAGCAAAGCCAGTTTCCACTAGGTGAACATGCATTATTCCACAAGGGAAGTAGCCTACGTAAAAGCAACCTGCTTCGCCTTTGCCGCCAAAACTTTGCACGCTGCCTCCTTTGCCGGTAGCTTCCCAGCCTGAGCAAGCCACTTTTCCACATCCCGAAACCCCACCATAGCTGCCATTTTTGGTTGCTTCAATTCAAGGGTCCCCCTCTAAGGAAACACCCATATGCCTTTGTACCCCTTAGCTGCTCCAGAAAGAACACTGCCATGTAGTGGGACAACAACAGCTACTTGGACTCGCAGCTGACGCCAACATTGGCAACAAGGCAGCGGCCCCCATCGCCAGGATAACCTGCAGTGGCCGCCTTTAGTGAACAACTCCCTTTTGGACGAGTACTTTTCTCTGGAAATGGCTCCTGTGCACGGTACAGGGTACATCTGCCATGTCATTCAAAGGGTACCTGTTGAGATTCGGCAATTGCGCACATGGTGTCCTTCTCCCTGAGACATACCCAAACAAGGCATCGCAGGACGGCACAGCATCATTCCAGGACATATTGCTAGCATCCGCCGAAATGCAAGGCCGAGTCGCGGAACACATTTGCTTCTGGGAATCCCCGAACGGAATCACATGCCAAAGTGCAGCCCTGCATGTTGAAACAAGGGCCCCAGAAGAATTTGTGCCAAGCCCGGGGCCCGCCATGGCACCTGGCAAACACGCAGCCGATTCTCAAAAAATCAGCAAATAGTATTTTCAAATGCGCTCAAGGCAGTGTTTTATGCAATTGAAAGGTGCACGAGTCACGGAATGCGCTAACATGGGTGCTGTCCCGCATGCATGCATGGCGGATGCATCTAGCAATTGGCGACCGTTGCACGCAAAAAAACGGCAACACATGACTGCGGGCCACATTTTCCACATTTTCAGTTCTTCCGGGGCCGTTGCCAAGAACATGCCGCCCTGAATCCGTAGCTATACATTGGACAAGCGCGACGATTGAAGCGGCGTCTGTGCCTGTGACTCTGGGCACTGGCTGGACGTGACAAAATGTTTCAGGGCGTGGCTTGCCCACGCCGTTGGCAAAACGCTTGCTAGGGCCCCTGCGGGCCCCAAGCCGTGCAAAGCCCATGCCGACAGCGTAGCAACAAAGTACTCTACCTATCACTCAGGTATGCCGCGGCTTTGATGCCAGGCAACTTGCAGCATGCCCACAATGCGTCCTGAGATCTCAGCAATGATTGCAGGAAAGCAATGTATCAGCTGAGAATGGCAAAGCGAGCTGCCCCATTGCATGCCCAAGCACATATTGTCGCGCGTGGCAGCCTTAATGGAGGCAGCCTTAATGGAGGCGGGTGCGAATCTTCTGGAGCCGTCTGGTCGTCCCTTTCCTGCAGGATGCAAACAAACCAATCACGCGAGTATGAACAAAAATTGCTGAACCCAAACCAGCTCTCAGCTTCAACTGGATTCGCTGGACGACCAAAACACCTACAAGGAAGCCTGCGACACTCACAGGCAAGCTCAACGCAAGGAAGCCCAGGCAGCGCCCGCTGGCATCTTAACACACCAAAGGCCAGCCTGCTGCACATGCTCAACAGGTGGATGTGCGGATTCGGGTGCTTGCTCATGTTCCTGAAGTGCAGCCTCAGCGGCACGGAGGCTGCGGTTTCTGAAGGAACTGCAAAGTTGGTCATTGCCATATTGGCTTGGCCTCTCGGGGATTCCCCCATGGCTTGCCCTTTCGGGCGTCATGTGAGTGGCTTGCCGTCGTAGTACTAGTAGTGATGGTAGTAGCAGTAGTGGCAGTAGTAGTAGTACTAGTAGCAGTAGCAGAAGTAGCAGTGTAGCAGTATTAGTGTTAGTGTTAGTGTTAGTGTTAGTGTTTGTATTAGTATTAGTATTAGTATTAGTAGTAGTAGTAGTAGTAGTAGTAGTAGTAGTGGTCCAGTGGTAGTCGAAGTAGTAGAGGAAGCAGTAGTAGTAGTAGCAGCAGTAGCAGTAGCAGTAGCAGTAGCAGTAGAAGCAGCAGCAGCAGCAGCAGCAGCAGCAGCAGCAGCAGCAGCAGCAGCAGCAGCAGCAGCAGCAGCAGCAGCAGCAGCATTAGGCAACACGAGGAGGAGTAGTAGCAGTGGTAGTGGTAGTGGAGGAGGTTGTTGCGGAAATCGAAGCCGCACTGAAAACCTAGAAGTAGCAACCGCAGTAGCAGTTGCAAAAGCGCGAGCAGCAGCAGCATAGTGGATACAGGTAGTAGGAAGTGCCACTACTACTACTGCTGCTGTTGCTGCTGCTACTGCCTACTGCTACTCCTCCTCCTCCTACAGCTACTGCTGACACTACTGACAAAGACCGCGCACATTGCCAACGCACGTCTGCTACAGCGCTGCAGTCAAGCTTCGCGCAACTTCTTGGCTGGAGGCTCGATGACAGTCTCCACCTTGGCTTCGATTAAGCGTGAAATTGAACAGGTTACTGCCGGGATGAAAGCATGTTGGATCTTGGCAGAGCCTGTTGCTTGGCTGCACCATCACCGTGACACAGCCTGGTCAATTTAGGGTCCAACCCTTGCGCAAAGAATACCACTTCGCGCCCGCGCAGCGCATCCTCCGTAACGCTCAGAACAGGTGATAGAAAGCTTGCAACAAGATGGAGCGGTGCCCGCTTTCTGTTTCTCTGCTTTGCCCTTGCTTCACGTTTCCCCTCGAAGCCTAGACAAGAAGAGGGGCTACTTTGTGGGAAACATTGAACTGGCGCAAGGGGTAACCAACTCGCGCAACATGTGGCCCATCAGTCTATCCATTTGCCGCTTACAACATCGATGCGCCCCCGGCAACCTCCAAATGTAGGGGGTTGGTCGAATCGACGTTGCCTGAACTCAAGGGAAAGCAGCAGTACATAGCTGTGTCCAAGAACCTGGAACGCAAAGAAATATAGTTTCAAGTCCAACACTTGTAGCAACTCGGCTACAAGTAAAAAACTTTCATTCGCGAAACTTTGCGATTGGAGTCAACAAGTCGTGAAGTCATGAACTGTCCCTGCGCTGTTGGCTCTTGAAGAATGGCTTATGGCGCTCCCAACACAATCATGCTGACCACAAGGCCGTGATTGCTCCATTCGCCTTCTACCTGCAGTTCCAGTTCGAAAGCTTTACTTCCCTAGCGCAAGCTGACCAACGACTTGACCCCCTGGAAAGCCTGATTCTGCAGTCAAGCTTCGCGCAACTTCTTGGCTGGAGGGTCGACGACAGTCTCCACTTTGTCTTCCTGAGTTGTCAAATTGCAGGTGGAATGCTATGAACCAGGTCTGTGAAATGTTTAGAGCTGTGCGTTTGAGAATGGCGCCCCGACTTTCCGAGCAAACATATCCTAGCTCACAAGTTGAGACTTACGAAAGTGGAACCACCCTACTGCACAACTTTGGCACCACAGCTGGGATGGTCAAAGCCTCTTGCTTCAACCCTTGGAAAAACAAAAAGCTTGCAACAAGATGGAGCGATGGACATGTGAGCGAACAACACAATTATGCTGATCACGGAGGCAAAGGGGTGCAAGGCCGCGATTCTTGCATTCTCAAGCTGCAGTCAAGCTTCGCGCAACTTCTTGGCTGGAGGCTCGACGACAGTCTCCACTTGGTCTTCCTGCGTGATGAAACTACACGTGGAATGCTATGAACCAGGTCTGTGAAATATTTAGAGCTGTGCGTTTGAGAATGGCGCCCCGACTTTCCGAGCAACCATATCCTAGCTCACAAGTTGAGACTTACGAAAGTGGAACCACCCTACTGCACAACTTTGGCACCACAGCTGGGATGGTCAAAGCCTCTTGCTTCAACCCTTGGAAAAACAAAAAGCTTGCAACAAGATGGAGCGATGGACATGTGAGCGAACAACACAAATATGCTGATCACGGAGGCAAAGAGGTGCAAGGCCGCGATTCTTGCATTCTCAAGCTGCAGTCAAGCTTCGCGCAACTTCTTGGCTGGAGGCTCGACGACAGCCTCCACTTGGTCTTCCTGCGTGATGAAACTACACGTGGAATGCTATGAACCAGGCCTGTGAAATATTTAGAGCTGTGCGTTTGAGAATGGCGCCCCGACTTTCCGAGCAACCATATCCTAGCTCACAAGTTGAGACTTACGAAAGTGGAACCACCCTACTGCACAACTTTGGCACCACAGCTGGGATGGTCAAAGCCTCTTGCTTTAACCCTTGGGAATACAAAAAGCTTGCAACAAGAATGACAGTCTCCACTTTGTCTTCCTGAGTTGTCAAATTACACGTGGAATGCTATGAACCAGGTCTGTGAAATACTTAGAGCTGTGCGTTTGAGAATGGGGTCCCGACTTTCCGAGCAAACACATCCTAGCTCACAAGTTGAGACTTACGAAAGTGGAACCACCCTACTGCACAACTTTGGCACCACAGCTGGGATAAGCCTCTTGCTTCAACCCTTGGGAATACAAAAAGCTTGCAACAAGATGGAGCGATGGACCTGTGAGCGAACAACACAAGTATGCTGATCACGGTGGCAAAGGGGTGCAAGGCCGTGATTGTTGCATTCTCAAGCTGCAGTCAAGCTTCGCGCAACTTCTTGGCTGGAGGCTCGGTGACAGTCTCCACTTGGTCTTCCTGAGTGATGAAACTACACGTGGAATGCTATGAACCAGGTCTGTGACATTTTTAGAGCTGTGCGTTTGAGAATGGGGTCCCGACTTTCCGAGCAAACATATCCTAGCTCACAAGTTGAGACTTACGAAAGTGGAACCACCCTACTGCACAACTTTGGCACCACAGCTGGGATAAGCCTCTTGCTTCAACCCTTGGGAATACAAAAAGCTTGCAACAAAATGGAGTGATGGACCTGTGAGCGAACAACACAAATATGCTGATCACGGAGGCAAAGGGGTGCAAGGCCGTGATTGTTGCATTCTCAAGCTGCAGTCAAGCTTCGCGCAACTTCTTGGCTGGAGGCTCGACGACAGTCTCCACTTGGTCTTCCTGAGTGATGAAACTACACGTGGCATGCTATGAACCAGGTCTGTGAAATATTTAGAGCTGTGCGTTTGAGAATGGGGTCCCGACTTTCCAAGCAAACATATCCTAGCTCACAAGTTGAGACTTACGAAAGTGGAACCACCCTACTGCACAACTTTGGCACCACAGCTGGGATAAGCCTCTTGCTTCAACCCTTGGGAATACAAAAAGCTTGCAACAAAATGGAGTGATGGACCTGTGAGCGAACAACACAAATATGCTGATCACGGTGGCAAAGGGGTGCAAGGCCGTGATTGTTGCATTCTCAAGCTGCAGTCAAGCTTCGCGCAACTTCTTGGCTGGAGGCTCGGTGACAGTCTCCACTTTGTCTGCCTCCACAGCTGGATGGTCAAAGCCTCTTGCTTCAGCCCTGCGAATGAAAAAAAAACAAAAACACTTCGCACCGGCAAAGCGCATCCTTCTCCCCGACGCTCAGAACCGGTAATAGAAAGCTTGCAACAAGATGGAGCGATGGACATTCGAACAAACAACCCAATTTCACCCGTCAGGCTGGCAAAGGGGTGCGGGGGGGTCATTGTTGCATTCGCCTTCCACTTGCAGGTCCAGACCAACGAGTTGCCCACCCTTGAGAGCTCAAGGTGCGGTCAAGTTTCGCGCAACTTCTTGGCTGGAGGCTCGATGACAGTCTCTACTTTGTCTTCCTGGGTCATCAAGTTGCACATGCAAAGCTGAGGCATGTTGCGTGTGTTCATTCATGCGTTGCATGCGCGGATTGCGTCAAAAGATGTCAGCAAAGAACTCATTGCTGGTTGCTTTGAAACATGAACAAGTCAAACCATGCAAAGCCGCTGCTGAAATTCCTAGGCGGCTGTTTGTACAGGGCGTTCATTCTGGGGTCTTTGGACTTCTGGGGTGTCTCTTGCCCTTGCCTGGCTTGTTGGTGAATTTACAGTGGCACAAGAAAGACACTGGAGACGCCATCATGAATCAAATGATCCTACTTGTGACCAAGGATTAGCAATAGCCCGTGGAATAATGATCTGCCGGTTGCTTGAGACGATTATAACACCCCCTGAGACGGTTGCCACTGACAACAGAACATGTAGTGAACCCAAACAGCTCCACTCCAAAGCGGCCCAGAACAACATTGAGCTTAGACAAAGGCAAAGTCAATACTACAATCTTTGGGGAGGAAAACACCGCCAAACACAATTTTATTCACATAGCTTCATTTAAATAACTTTGCCCCAATCAACCCCACCAAAAGGAGAGTACTTGAGGATAAACACATTTTGGGGGGGCATACTATTTGTTGCCCGGCCAAACAAAACGTGTCCAACCCTACACGACTAATCCAAATGCATAATGCAATCCAGCAATACCAAACCAAATGGAAACTCAAACCCAGCAATACTAAACCAAATGGAACATCCAATCCAGCAATATCAAATCAAATGGACACTCAAACCCAGCAATACTAAACCAAATGGAACATCCAATCCAGCAATATCAAATCAAATGGAAACTGCAATCAAGCACTTGATTCAACTGGACACTCAAATGCAGCAATACCAATTCAGCAATACAAAATCAAATGGAAACTCAAATCCAGCAATACTACATCAACTGGAACATCACCATCCAACCCAGCAATACTAAATCATGGAAGATTCAATCAAGCACTACTGGTAAGGGAATCTCAAATCTAGCAACGCTAAAACAAATGGAACCAATCAAACAATGTTCAATCAATTGGAGCCTCAAATCCAGCAATGGTAAAATGCTAAATCAGATGGACATTCAAATCCACCAATCCCAATCTCAAATGCTCCAGTAGTACTAATCACATGGACACTCAAAATTGGCACCAGCAATATTACCCAATTCGAAGCCAGTTGATTTGGAGGAGGGAGGGTCATCTGTTCTAAGGGGATCCATTGTTGAGGGGTGGGGGGGGGGGGTAAAAAAGCAAAGGTCTCCATTTGCTTCTTCCCCCGGACATGTTTCCAAATTCGCTGATCTTCAATGGAGTGCACGGGCGGGGTACGACCAAATACCATGCCTGATTCAAAGGACACGCCTCCAGCCAGTCTTTCTGAGGGAGGTGTCTTTTTTGGGGGCACACCACCAATGGCATCCAAGCTTCCGCTGCTAGCTTGGCCGCGAGATGCCTTAGCATCACCAAAACGGGGGACTCGCCCGGGCAAAGGGCTGGAACTTCAGAAGTCAAGGGGTACGTGCGATAGAACTATGACGTAATCATTGGATGAATGAAACTGTTGGATGCAAATCGAACCATTAGTTGCAATGTTGCAGAGCCCCACAGGCCCAACACGCGTAGGTCTCTCGTAAAAAACAGGTTCTGACAGCCTCAATGTAGCAGCCCGTCCAGCGCCAAAAGTCAGCTTGAAGCTTCAGCTTCGACCAAGAAGCCTCGTAACAAAAAGAGTCACGACCCCCGAAGGAAACTCGGCAAGATTTATCCCGTCACACCCGGGCCCTGCCCCGCCCCATTCTAGGAACCCATTGAATTCATCTGCAAAGAGCCTGGCGCCAGCTGCCCGCGACCGCTGCAGCAGCAGCGAAGCAAAGCCCAGCTCTGGCTTCCGCATTGCCTACGCGCATCATGCCAACAGACTTGGCACTCGCCACATCTAGCTCTCACACTCACCCTCCCTCACTTTCAAGCCATCGGATTCCGTCCCGCTCGCGCGGGTGCACACACACACACCACACAAAGAAGAGAAAGTTTTGGCGCTGCTATGCATCCGCCTCTGCAGGCCGCACCACATCCGCCCTGGCCACGCAGCCCCGACGACACAAAGTGTTGAAAGGCTAGCACGTTTGGCGCAAGGATTGGAATCCATCGATGACGGATGGGGGATCATGTTCTGGTGCTGAGTCATGATGCTGAGTTCAGACATTCAGGGCCTCAAGCCCAAACAAATGCTTCATTTGGAAAGTGGTAATGCAAGCTGATTTGGCCACTCTCCTGGCAATTATTCATCACCAAACAAATTGCAAGACTCCGTTCAATCTGTGGCAAAAAGTGAATTATTGTCGAGCAAACCACACTGTCCTGTTGTGTTGGTATGCTTGTTAATGCCGGCGATCAGCTGGCAAGCGTGGGAGTTCACGACCACGAACATCGTGCTAGACTGCAAATGTGGAAGCGGTGGCTAAAGCTCTAAGTGAGGCTAGAAAAAAAACACATCTTCTCGCCTGCAACAACTTAAGGTGCATTACATCGTAGAAAAGCCTATGGCAGTGGAAAGCACGCAATTGTTTGGACAAAGGCCCTGCTCAATTAGTCGTGTCTGAGTGAGAGTGAGCTCCTTATAACTCCTTTGTCAGGCATCATGAACACCTAGCACAGTACGTCACTTTTCCCTCCAAGGTCAAAACATCAAACATGCCATGCATCCATCTCTGTTGCCAGGATCTTCCTTTTCACAGCCCCCCCCCCCCGCCTCGCCTGGGCAGTGATCTCTTGACTGGTGCTGCGGAAGGCACGGGTGCCGCGGTTGGCACTTGCATCGCCAATGCTGTTGGCGCACGCGCCAGTGGCGTTGGTGCGGAGGGCAATGGCGCAGCTGAAGCCATGCATGTTCCAGGCGTGAGGGCCGTGACCACGTCCAGCGAAACTGAGGGGAATGCGGAGTCCTGCAACACTCTGACGCTGACGCAACATTAATCAAGACACCTAGTGCAAGCCTCCAATGGGGAAGTTACACGTGCACAAATGCTTGCCCAGCTCTTGTTCAGATATGTCCGGGGACCTGCCGTTGGGTAGCACCTAATTACCTTGGCATGTTCTCGAAGGGTGACAAAGAGCGTCGTTTGCTTGGATACCCGATAAGAAACGTGGCATATCGTGGCATCACATTCAAACGTTAACATCTTCAAATGCACAAATCCGGCTGCTCGATGGACACGTGCATCAAAAAAAAACATGTTCTGGCTTGGTCTGCCTACCTGCATCCCCTCCCAGGTGTCCTGGCCCTCTGCAGCGGTCTCGCCTGCGACATGTCCAAGTGGCAGCACTTTGAACTCATGCACCGAACTTGCAGTCTGCAAGTCGCGCATGCCCCACCAACAGTGAAGCTATAATCCTGTTTCTATTTTCTTTTTATTTTTTTCCGCTGGCCATATGACTGGATAAATGGAGCTACCCAGAAATACCCAGAATTGCTGCCCTTCTCTGCTTCGCATCATCGGTGCCAGTAACACATCCCGCCTGGGTCAACCACAGCTGTGTCTGGAAAGGAGCCGTCCCTTCCTGTTTCTTCAGGGTTTTCTTCTTGCGGCCTTGCATCAGGCGCCTGTGGAAATGGCGTTGGTTGACTCAGGGCGGGGGCTGTTGTTTCCACATCCCTTGCTGGAGCCGAAGGGGTGGGGTCGCTGATGTATGGATGGTCTGCCATGTCCACCTTTGGTGTGGGTTGAGTGCACCACGGTGTAGGCAAGGTCTCCTTGATCTCCTTGACCGGTGTCACCGGCATTGGTTGCGATTCAGGCAGGGGGGTTGGCCTCTCGGGTGCTGGTGTGGGGAGTGTTGCTGGCGCCTGCTTTGCCTCAGGAACTGGCGGTTCAAAGAACGCCGGGGTGGGTTGCGTCTCCGGCCGGTGCTGGCTCTCTGGCTGGCTGTCTCGGCTCAGCAGGTCCTGCATACGTCGACCTTCTGGTAGCTCGCTATCGGGGAGCTGACTCTGGCTCTCTGGCAGGCTCTCAAGGAGTGACAGTGGCCGCTGCAGCCTTGCCTCCTTTCCTGGCCACAAGAAGAACCCACGGCAATTGAATGTCGCCTTCCGAAGCCGAACAACATTTGTGCTCGCAACATTGACTGAAGGGAGTTGCAAATCAGGTTTCTGATTTAAACATTTTAAAAGAGCATGGGTGGGCCTCTCAACAAGGACCGGTGATGCACACAAATCAGCAAGCGTTTCAAGCGCGGGCCTTCGACATCGTCCTCTCTCTTTCGCTTGGCATCACGCTCTGTCGATTTCTCTTCTAACTTCGTTGTCCGCATTCTGTCAACGTCTTCAGCTTCTCGGGCTTTGGGCGCTCCCTCGCCTGGGATGTCAAAGCTTTTCGCTCCCGCACCGACTTGGCCTACGCTTCTGACATTCGAAATGTTTGCTGTTTGTGGCCTGCGAGGAACACACAAGAAACAATCACGGTGTTTCATGCGTGGATCTGTTTGCTTTGCGTGCATGGGGCTTTGAATTATGCAATCGTATTGGCAGTCCGCCCGGAGATGAGCATCGTCAGTGAGCCTTGACCCAGAGTTTCAGGGAATTGTTGGATTTGGTCCGGCTGCTTCGGACACACCAACTCCCCAAGTTGAGAAATAGCCTTTCCGCCGAAACATAAACTTGCCATCTTGCTACAATATGCTGCCGGGCTCTTCGCAAAAACAACAAATCCACGGCTTCGCAAACGTTGCGCCGGCGAGCTCGACCCCAGAAAAAGCGCAGGACAGGACAAGCATGCCACTGGTGCAGCCGGCAGGCTGCGGAGCACCGGAGGGTCATCCCGCCGCTTCTCAACACGGCAGCTGCAGCAGCCACTGTGACCTGAACACTGGCCTCCAAAAATAGGTATCTGTTGAAAGCAAACAGGGTCCTTACAGCCCAAGATTTCGTGCAAACTTTCAGAACCAATCACGCCGATTGGAACTACAGCCACACGGCAAGCGCTTGACCAGGCGAACGCGGTGCGGAGTGACGCAAGACTAAGCAAGAGGCCTTGTCCACATCTGACTTTCCCCGTCATCATGTCATCATTTCATCCCACTGTCAAACGGGCTTTGAGGAAATGCAACATATTATGCGGTCGGAGGCATGCCGAAAGTTGGGAAATCATTGAATACAATCTGCTTCAGCCGCTTACCTTCGAGACACGGTTGCAAGGTCTTACATCACTATCAGTTGCAAAGCTGTGATGCAACGAGCGACCAAACAAATACTACGGACAACCTGCCTACTGCGTTGCCATGACAAAGGAAAGGGGTTAGAACGCCGTGCTGGCACATGCTTGTGTGGGTGAAGCTGAAGGCAACCAAGCCGCCTGTGTCCGACTTCTCCACTTGCAGTTGCTGGCTGAAGCCAGCAGGCCTGGTGCGTGGACGTCTGCATTGATCTAAGCACAGGGTAAACACATCATCGCTGCCCACCAAGGTGATGTTAAATCGTGTAAGCCTTTGGCATCATGCTTGGATGTAGCCTAGCAGGCATACAGGAGCCATGCACACCGCTGATGTTAAACATTTCAGTCAACGGACAGCCACCAAGAGCTCTCAAAATCTGCCTCCCAACTCCCGGTTGGATTTCTGTGTCGCCCCAAAGCTAAAAATGCTGCACCTCGGCGGTGAGCTCGCGCGCTGCGACGCAAAGGCTTGGGAGGCGTATCCCTGGGAGCGGATCTTCACCTCGTTCTTGGGCAAAGGTGCCTGCAAGCCGAGCCCCTCTCGTCCCGAGCCTTGCAACATGTCTGGGCTTGAATTGATTCGATGGGTCTCTTGCGCTATGATCCTGTCATGGCAGTCAGCTGCTCATGGCTCTTTTGGAGTCTGCAATCGCCAAGGTCAAGTGTAAAACGTTGCTTAGGATGCTTAGGATTGCATACTTTCGTGATCCCATTGCGAACACAACATTTCCATCTGACTCACCGTGCCCTGCACTTCCGCGCCTGCGGGTCATCCAACAGGAGCTTCAGGTGCTGAGGGGGAAGAAAGCCCTGGCGGGGGACGTGCAAATGCTGAGCACTGGCAGGGCAAGCCATACGAGCTCCAGCTGTTGTGCCTATCTTGAGGCATTTGAGGCATTCAGTGCCACTCGCAACTATGAACCACATACCGCCGACCTTAGCAAGGTGGGTTCAAAGAACGTTGGTGGCAGCAAAGTTGTAGGCATTGGGAGCAACTAGCTTGGGCTGCCTGAGCCAAACCATGACATCCTCAAGAACGATGGCCGCGAAGGTGTGGCTTTGCCAACGCTGTGCACCGAAAGGCTGTGCAGCCCAGTAGAACCAATCAGCCGTGTAAGTACTAGGTAGCACGCCAATGCCCAAAAATAATGAATCGACTGCTTACAGCAATGGACAAAATAAATCATTCAACTGGCCTTTTACCTTTTTCTATCCGATGATACCCTTGGCTTGTGATGTCTCGTTCCCGGACGCCTCGTGAGGCGTCCTGGACGGCCTCGGGGGCTTCCTGATGCGAAAGGACTCACTCACTGCTCCAGCATCACGGAGGGACAAAACAGGTAGGGGGGAAGGGCCAGGAACTGCATCTTCCGGATGCCAGTGAGCTTAGCGCTGCCGAGGTTCACATTCTTTGGCGGGGAGTCGTCAACCTGTCGCCGCAAAGATGATGGCGAGCCTGTCCTTAGCATGAAGCAAACAGCGGCCTAAGCCTAAGCATACAGCACAGGTTCCTTACTGTCCGAAGCCCACAACTCTGGTCCTCTTTCAACCTGGTGAATCGCACCCCGTCAAAGACTCCAAGCAAATATCATCAGCTGACTGCAAACAATCACGTTCTCCGATGGCCTTTTGAGAGGTGTGATCGCTGTAGCCAAGGAAAATTTGAGCAACACGCTCTAAGCTGCAAAGATGCGTATGCTCACGTCCGGCGCTTCGCGACAGCACAGGTGTCACTGGCGTTACTGGCGTTGCAGGCGCATGGGAATTTCTGCCTGGCAGTGCCGAAGCGAAATAAGCAACTTGCATCAGCGCCAAGTAAACTCCAGCATTCAACAAGTGAACTATTGCGCTTGACCCGTGAAGGAAGACTCAACATCCTGCCCTTACAGGCTCCAAGCGTAACCGTTCGCTTGGTGAGTCGGGCCGCCTCGCTGGCTGGCAGCCTGTGATGTGGCCAGGCTGGGCGCCCGCCCGCCCAAGCGAGCGTAGCACCTCAGGCAAACAGCGGGCGAGCGGGCGACAAACGCAAATACGGCGTGGCAGCTGACAAGTGCTCCGCTCAGCAAATCAGGGGCGCACTGGTTGCGCCATTCGAGGATCTTATCCTGCGCAATGAGAGATGCCCAGAAAACAACCACACATACACACAATTTGCGTGAAGCGAAACCTTTTCCAAACTCAAGCTCACCAGTGTTGGGTGATAGCTCAGTCGCCTGCAAGTGCTCAGTTCACTTCCGAGCCTTCGTCCAGCCCTGCTCGAACTTCATGTAGCAAGCGCGGGCGATGACTTCCTGTCTGGGCTCCCCGTTTCATTTGCCACTGGTACTACGTTACTCTGCCCTAGTGCCTAGATGGCTTAGCAGCTTAGCGAGCCTAAACAATTGCAGTCTGTAGTTCTTGGTACATCTCTCTGAGGCTAAAATCTCTACACTTCCATCCAGCCGCTTATTGTCAGGCAGCTTTGATTCATGAAGCGGCTGCCTGTGCACAAGGCACATTCTCTGAATGCCGGAACAACAACAAGGTTGACACTGCATTGTTGTCTTGTCTATGGCGGTGCCTTGCCGTAATCCCTTCTCCCTACTCATCTGTGCACCACATCAATAAATACTGTTTTTTCCAGACCACCGGATCCCGAGTACTACTGATACAAAACTCTAGACCTGCTGATTTCACGCCAATCCCGACACCCGTCTTATTAAGGCATATTCCAGCACATGTGTCTTTTAATAAAAGAGTCTAATTCCATATTTGCTGTCTACCAACTTAAATTATTTCTTTCATTGTTTTCTTTTGGTTTGCGCTTTTACTTTTGAACTGCAAGAACAACCTTGAACAGTTCCGTTTAACTTCGTTACTGGGACACGTGCGATTTGGATGGCTTTCGTGTTGGCGAAAGGAGGCCCGTTTGGACCATCGTTTGAGCACTAGCCAGCTCTTTTTGGTGTGGGGGGGGTATCCATGATTAGGGGGAAGGAATGAATTATTTGAGTCAGTGCCGGACACGGGTGACAAGGGCACATGCGTGCCAATTTCTGGCTTCAGCCCATCCGACGCACCCGAAGCCCGAAACCGCCGCTTGCAGCTGGGCGGCCGCCGCGATTTGGGATCCTGCGGCCGCCGGCACCGTGGTCTGGAAGGCGATCTGCTGGTTGCCGCCGCGCCAGCGGAAGGAGTAGACCTTCTTGCTCTTCTCGTACCTGACCTGAGGGTTGCTTTTAAGCGCAGCTCAATGAAGCGCGCACACCTTGAGGGGCTCTCCTGTCGTTGGAATTGTTTGCTTTGTGGAGAACCCGAAACTGAATCTGGTGTTTGTGCTGTCTAAAAGAAGTATGGCGACAGGGCGGATCGCTGCTTTGTACTGGAGGCTCCTAAACAACCAGCTGCCCAGATCTTGGAGACGTCGGCCTTGTCAGATTGAACATCGTTATCATCATTGAGCACTTGAGCACCACAGGGTTTTGTGCATTTGCAGTGTAGTTGGCCATTACTTTGCAGTTGTACTGTATGTTGGGTTTGTCAATGTGAGGCCACATAATTGAGCCCAAGATCTCATCCTGCACGCATGATGTATGTACATTCACGTACTTCTCAGGGAAGGTTCTGGACACTTCACTCGCTGGCAAATGGAACGCCTGGCGTAGTGCCCAGAAGTTGCCAAAGTTTGTGGCGAGCAAGCAAACGGCAACAGTTCGGTCGGCATTTTTGGCACGCCATCAGTCTGATCCTTTTCATTTGGGGTTGTTTCCTTGCTCAGTATCCAGGTCGCCGTCTTATGTTTGCTTTGAACTTGTTGCTTGATTCTTTGTCGAGTGCAGTATTTGCTTTAGGGACTTTCGCCTCCAGGGCGCCACAAATAAGAGCTGCACCAGGGTCGGCGTCTGCTTAACATTCCATTCGCTTCCTTGCAAAATGTCTGCCCTTCCCCCTTCCCGCCCAGAAACGCCAAGGGGCAGCGCTGTGAGCAGGGTGCCCTCGCGGAGCATCTTCAGGCAACGCATCTTTCGATACGCTGTGCTCCTAGCGCTCGGTTTGACGCCATACAGCACCTCAAAGCTTCATGGCTTAAGCTAGGGTTCTCTGGACTGCAAGGCAATTCTCAACGGCAAATATGCACAGAATAGCCGAAGGCACAGAGTCGAAGCCCCCACAAAAGGAGGCTACTCCTGGAGGCCATCCCATCCAAATATGGGCAACCGCTTGGCAAGCCATTTGGCACGTAGGCGTCACGCAAATGGTGACGGCTGTGTCCACCAACCGGTTTGAAGCTGGCTTGACTGTTTCAACCATCAAAAGTCGTCAAGGCTTTTTGTAAGGGCCCATCCCAACAAATGATAGGTTTCCTTAGGGTTCATTTTTTCACTCGCCCTAAAAATGCTACCCCAAAAAACAGACACGCCCATGTCAAAGCCACATGGCCGCTCCTTGATTTCTTTGGGCACCGCTTTGATCTCTGCTGAAAGACGCCGAGGCTGAAGGGGCGGACTGCCATAGAACTGGATCCAACCTGACTTCATCCGAAATGGGCGGTTGTATGATGGTGCATTCGTTGGAGCTAATGTTGAGGCTATTGATGGTGCATTAGTAGGTACTTGTGTAGGCATTTCATCAAACTCGGAAGTACAGAGGATGGCTGCTCTTCAACGGGTATCTGGCAAATGAGCGTTTTGGGTCTTGGCGATTAGCCAACTTAACCCCCGCTTCGACCTGCGACAAGGGCAATGATTGGCCAAAAGCGAGTATCACAATAGCATCCAGGTCATTGCCAATCAGCTCAAGTGCGCAAAACACAGAGATATAAGTGGCCCCCCTTTGAGACAACCCAGTTGGACAAACTGGTAGAAGTGATACTCCAAAGCTAAATTGAACTCGGCGACCACCTGTACTTGCCTGGGACAAGCATGCCAATGCTTAGGATAGTGCAGGCAAACTCAAATGTAAATACGTACCCTCAACCTGCATGCCATGCCGCATTCCTGGCAATAGAGCCCGCCGTCGTTCAAGTCCTGCTAGGATCAAGTGAGTTGCAAGCGCCATCAGCTCGGCAAACAAGCATCAGCACTGTTCCAACGGAGGTCCACTGCTTTGCAATGGTGTCGGGATTACTGGCAGGTCCTCACCTCTTTCAGCCTCAAGGACCCAATCAATACATTGGCGGAGGCCACCGCAGAAGCCGTCAACAAAAGGGTCTGCAAAGCAAGCTTGCGAGCTTTCGGCTATATATTACCTATATGCATACACATTTTGCGGCCGATGAACAATTCAAACCCACAAACATGCAAGCAGAGTTTAGCGATCATGTGGCAGCAACATCGCTCTCCTTGAATGTTGTTGCCTTCACTTCACCACAATCTTGGCAACAGGATCCAGCAGCGACCATTCCTGCACCAACCCATGGAGCAGTCGCTTTTTGTCCGATACATGGAATAACTTGCACCGATGCAGAAGCTGTGTGTGCCGCTCAGCGGCTGCAGCCGCATTCACTCAATTACTCGTGACGACACGGCCTCATCAGAGCATGGCTGGGTGGCACGGGGACCGGGGAGGGCTATAGCAGCTGCGGTTAGGCGGTCAAAGTCGTACCAAATCATGTTGGATCGGAAGCACGGTCCGCCCCCCGAAGCCAATGGTCTCCTCCCCCAAACCGCTGGGAGACAGGTTGGGCACCAAAAGTCCGACATCAATAGACCACACAATATGGCTGTGGGTCAAAATTACGCACCCAAAATGGAACCCTGGTAAATGGAAACAAGGACTAAAACCTGCGGGCCTCTAGTGGATTCATTTTGACCCATACCCATATAAGCAAACAACAGCAGGAGTGGACTTCTTCGAACGGCGACTTTGTCTGCGAGCTGCCTTGAAATGGCAGCTATGATCAGATTTTCTGAGCGCCAGGCACTGTCGAGCTGCAGCGATGAGTGTGTCCACTGAATGTGTTCTTGTGCTGTACTTGATGCGGGTGAATTTGGAAGAACACAAAACACGTTTGTAGAAATATACATGCACATATATATATATATATACACACATATATATATATGAATGTATATCATGGTAAGCCAGCTTGGGCATCAGAAGCTGCCTTGGCTGGCTATCTACAGTTTGGGCTAGGGTTTGTGCATCGTGTGCCGTGCAGCCGAATCGAAAGTACGAATCCTTGGTGGCTGTTCAAGGATAGCTAATCACCGTCTCTGCCGCATTTTGCCAACCATGAGTTCCGTCGATGCATCATGCTGCTCTACAAAACGCCCTACAAAGGCGAAACCAACGGCTGCAGCCAATGCACAACTCCAAGCTAGTGGGCTTTCCCTGCCCAAGGTCAAACTGAACCGCGTGATCAGGACCCATGTGCCATGTTCAGGCACACTGAACGCATCGGCACGCAAAAACTACAGCGATCCCCACTCAAATGAAACCTTAGGGAAGCCACTGAAAGACCACCTTGCTTCACCGCAATGCGCTCTAGTGCGATATGGAGCCTCTGAAAAGCAGGAAGCAAGAGAGGAAGAACATGGGTGTGTCTTTATTGAGGGTACCCTTTCTTGGGGGTTTAGAGGGAAACCAAAGGAACAAATCTGGGTGGGTCTCCTGGAAAAAAAAGTGTACACGTTAAGAGCAGCAGGACGAGGGGCCTTGTGAGTCATGCCGCACTTTGTTGCCCTTTGGCGCGCTACCAAATCAAACGATGTCTCTAGTGGCGCTTGTGGCATTGTCATTCCATTTCACTGCTTTGCAGGGTGAATGAATGCGATACGCCCTACATGTCTTTTGCGCATTGGGTGCGACCATGGCTTCAATGCCAATGACTCAACACTGTTGCACGACTAGCCTCTGACCAACTTAGTGAAGCGCACGGAGCTTTGCCACGCTGAAGCCAAGATCATGCGACACACATCTGATCTCCGCATGGCTCGCTTGCCGGCCAGTACACACCGTTGGATCGGACCAGCTGTGGAAGCCGAAGGCCTGGCTCGCTGGAGCAAAGCTATGCGCTCAGATTGGAACTTGTGATGTCATCCATCAAGCGGAACCAAACCATGGCAAGTTGAGCAACACAACCAATGATCATCCTAGCATTGGGGCACATGGGCACAAATCTGGTGAGTTGACGCTTGGGAAATGATACCCGGGCAGGGTGATGCCTGCACAAACACCAATTTCTTGAATGCTGACCTGCATCCAAAAACAACTGCTACGAACTTGCACAACTGCTGGCTGCGAGTAAGGCCATCGCACTCCTCAGGGATCAGCGCAGCTCCAGCCTTGCGCGCGTCTCCAGAACGAAAGCCAGAGACGGTTGATGTCAGGTTTGCGCAGCTGTTTGCTTCTGAATCTTCCCAGTCGCTGCCTCGGCTATGTGGACAAACAAGTTGCCTCGCAAGTCCAGGAGGCATACCTGGCAACATGCGAGCTGTCTTCACACATGGAATGTCAGCAAAAAAGGGAGCCTGCTTGCACAAGCTGTTCCGAGACCTTGTGAATCAATCAGTGCACAAACGGCTTTGCAGCCTACATACAGGCCATGGAAGATCAGTGCACAAATGGCTTGGCAGCCTACAGGCCATGGAAAATCCTCGAGGCTTCCTGCCCTAAAGCATTCCTCAAGCTGCCCTTCCTACATATCCTGCTTGTGAACACAAGCGAACACTTAGACATGACACACAAAGGCCTGTGCCACGTCTGGATGGGTGGCTGCGTGATTCCACTTTAGAGGTTTTAGTGTTGCTCCTTGGGATGTACGCCTGGTTACGCCTGCCAAACTGACCTGACTAACACACTCCGGTAAAGAATATTAAATAAATCACAAACCTGCACGGGGGATACAAGAAACCAATCATGGAACTGCGTGGCCCCAAAATCAGAGAGCAACTACTAGCAGGAAGCATGCAGTGTCACTGACATGGAACTTGTGCAACATAGGCCCCAACAAAAGTCAACAGGAATGAAGATAACATTGAAACGGTTCGCAGTCAGTTCCATATGTTGCTGTGCTGCTTTTGTGTTCATGCATCATTGGCCAACAACACAGGCAAAAATTGAACCTGCGAGCAATCTGCAAGGTTGTGCAGGTGGCAGAAACCCGAACAGGCGATACAGGAAGATCCTGAACGTCTTGGAATGCATTTGAGCAAAAACATCCCCAACACATCATATGATTCAAATACCACTTAGATACTGCTACTAGTAGCTTAAGATAGGCCAACAACATCCAGCAACAACAGCATCTGACAGTTCCGTGATTGTGGGTTAGAGCGCCTACAACTTCCAATGCAAGCATGAATGCCACCATATGCCACCCGCTCCAAACACCCTCCCTACAATACACAAACACACACGCACATATTACACTTCCACTTACACCTTCACTTACACTGCACACACACACACGCACAGGCACACAGGACGCAGCAAGCACGCCAGCACGCACTCACCCACGCACCCACACAAACACACAAATACACAAATACACAAATACACAAATGCACAAACACACAAACACACAAACACACAAACACATAAACACACAAGCCCACCAACACTCAAACACACACACACACACAACATACAACATGCAGCACACACACACACACGAGTTGTGCAATGTGTGTCAACACAAATAGCTCAGTGAGTTGTCCCTAGTGGGAAGCGCTGGCATGCGTCTGGCACCCCGGAGCGTGCCCATTTTTGAGCCTGGTGCATGCCAACATCGATTTGAACTGCGCGCATCACAGCAGGGTGAGACAAGCCCGAGCTTCAAAGGGCATGGGAGTTGCTTTGTCCAACTTCAGATTCTGAGGGGCTGACTGTGCGACTGGCTGGCAGGCATAGCAAAAACGTGGTGACTGCAAGGGGTAAGTGTTGCTTGATTGTTTTCTGTGGAAATCAACCAGCAACCGCAAACCATGACAAATCCCCAAACACGCTTGTCCAGTGACCCTGGAAGGAACAAGTACAGTAATATTGTGCGCCCACCAAACCAGAAGGGTCAAACAGTTGGTGCCACTGAACAGCTAGATTCAAAAAACTGCCAGCCAGCAACGAAAACGTATTTCTGAACCGAGCTCTGCTCAGCCTTCATCTAAGCCTCTGTCAAAGCAGCTAGGAGTGTGAAGCAACCGTTTCAGCACACAACACAGACCAACGCGTAATGTCCTGTTAAAACAACTTCCAGAAACACATATCTGGTTCTGTCTTTCTCTGAGGTGTCATTTCGGGAAAAAGGGAAAAGACCAATTTCGGGTGTTCGCATGGCTTTGACACAGGCTCAATCTTCATCTGACTCCGCTTTGGGCGCCTCGGGGGTCTCTGGTGCCTTGGGTTTCTCTCGCCGCTCCGCGCGGTTTTGCAGGCGCAGGCGCACCGAGCTCCACCGGGGGGTGCACTCCGCCGTGGGCTCGCCACCAGGTGTCAGCAGCCGGCCAAACCTGGATTGCACTGAAAAGGACGAGAAATGATGGACCCCCCCAAAGGTGCAGTGCGGTTTTCGTGTTAAACAACGACATGCCAAACGGGTCAGGAAAAATGAAGGAATTGCTTGATTGACTTAAATCGTTGGCCCAGTTTAGAAGCCATTTTTGAAGCCTAACAATCCACCAGGCCAATTGATCCGGGGCCAGCATCAAACGGGACCCCCTAACAGACAGTTTCCCGTTGCGCACTCCAACCATCGAGTCTTCCAGTACATGCTGCTGGTCGAAATCACCCCTGTAACTTCCACTACTTTTCCAGCATGGGTTTGGATAGACAGTTGTAGATGTTTCCAATGACTCTATGTAGTAGTAACCGATGGCACTTAAGAAGGGAATGATCAATGTCGGCAAATAGCGCCCTGTCCCTTCCCACGCCACTGGTGTCTCGGGCCCAGGGTGCGGGCACAGGAGCAGGCGTGTTGCGAGGCCTGCACTTGAAGGCCTTCCAGTGAGACATTCCAGACTGTTAGACAGCTTGTCCGAAGCAATCCGACTGTCCATCCCACGATCGCGAATCTCAGGGTGGCAAACCCTTTCTTCCAGTATTCCCACCTGCCTCCTGCTAGTTGGGAACAAACCAGCGCACGCATTGCTCGGGGCTGGGCGCTGGCTGAAACAATGCGCTTGCAATTTCGGCAAAATTTGCCCTGGTGAATCGCTTCTCTGCGTCCGCCAGCCGTCCTGCCCCAACCTCTGAAAGCGGAAGCAACTTGGCGCGTTTCGCATCTGCCTCCAATTGAGGAAACACCGTCGCCGTTGGTCTCTTCTCACTGCCACACTTTGCCCCAGCGACCCATGCGGAAGGGTCAAACAAACTGGTGATCGGCGGCTGCTCGCCGGTCATGCTTCTGCCGAACATCTACGGGCAAGGCTGCCCACTATTTGTTCTTGACTTGCAGCTACAGAAAGTTTGTTGCTTTTTCGTTCCACGCGATCAGCGCGGGCATTTCTCCCCGCGGTTTCGTTTGGGCTGGCTCTCCGGGCTGCACAAGCACTCCGGCGAGAAAAACATGGCACGAGTCACGGAAAAAACTAAATGAGGATGGCTTTATCAACCAAGCCCGAAGCTCAGGCGCTTGAGCCATTTCGCTGACATGTTACATAGTACCGCTACGCTCTTAACATGCTGAACGAATATGAAGTTCAAGCGACGGCTGTTGGTCTCAGGAGAATGTGAGAGGACGCCTACAGGAATGCTCAAGGCAGCCAGCTCGTGTGCTGATCCCTGCTTGGCACGCGAAGCAACCGGCCGATCTTCATCACTCTTGACAAGCGAAGAACCCAAACCCAACCAAATTCAACCAACCAGCAATCAGCATGCAGTGATGCAGTGCATGGCACCTGGTGATGCAGTGGCATGGCACCTGGGACCAAAACTCAGAATCCCATGTCGTGTTTTGCCCTCAAATAGATGAGCCCAACAAATGCCTGGTTTCCCTTGATATTTTTCGTTAAGACCACCCAGCACCCAACAAACAGGATGACCCACCCACCCCCCAAAAAACAAAAGAAGAAGAGAAGAACAGAACAAAAACACACACACACACACACACACACACACACACACACACACACACACACACACACACACACACACACACACACACACACACATTGGTGTTCGTGCAAAGCAAGCCAAATTTCTACCAGCCGGGCAGCTGCGGGCCGCTGGCTAGGGAGCCATTGGCCAGGTGCATGCAGAGCTCCCCCAGGCGCCGACGAGTCGCCTCCAACTTCTGCTGCCTGGCAAGCAAACCTTTGCCACCAGCCCAAACCTTGCCAAGCCACATGCCACATATTTTCTGTGTAAACCTAACTGCTGTGATTTCACCTCTGTGCCCAGCTGCCAAATCTTCTGGCAGGCTGACTTGCACAGTTTAGTCTGCACGTGGTCCCTATTAAAGGCTCCAGGCCCAAGTTTTCCATGGAGCGCCATGGGACCACCCAGAACTCTTTCTAGCCCAGGTCAACAAGCACCTTTTCACGAGAGGCAACATGCAGTCGCTTCATCCCTGCCTTGGCTCAGAACCGCCAAACACTTCAAAGGCACTGCCCTCAACAGCATCGCCATTGTGCACTGTGATGCCGATCACCGTTTTCATGATCGCATTGTTCAGCTTGGCCCATTGGATCACCTAGGCTGAATCCTGCGGGATCACTTCATGTCATTCACCTGCTTGCAACGCATGGGCAGCAGTGCTGGCAGCGGATAAATGCGGATAAGCCATGAAGCCCTGATTCTAAAATGCAATTCGCCGTCACACCGAGAAGCATCGAGAAATAGTACACAAACACAACACACACACACACACACAAACGCATATACATTTTCTCAAGCCTTTAACAGTCTCCATTCCCCCGCCTTCCAAAGAATTGGCCCAAATCATTCCGTGCAGCTGCGAGGCTGTTGCTGACTTCATCTTCTCTCCAGGCTTGAGGCCGAGATTCACCTCATTGTTCGGAGTCGCGTAAAGAGCACCAAATGCCCTGCAGCCCTGCGCAAGAACATCCGGCTCTCTGTCCGCAGAGTGCTCCATGGCATAGTAAATCACCTCTGCCGTCGCAGGGAGGCCCTTCTGAAAGTCCTCCTGGCCCGGTCAAGTTGAATATGGCTGTGAGTCAAAAAAACAGGTGCCCAAAATGGGACACTGAATGGAACCCAGGACTAAAACCTGCGGTCCCCTGCCGGTTTAACTTTGACCCACGCCCATATCAAAAGCCTGCCCTCCCAGCTTGCTTTTCCTACTGAATTTATTCTGGCAAACCGCAATCAAAAAACAACCCTTGTCCGTGACTCCTTGATAGACTTGGTGCATGCCACGTTCGCCAGCGCCGCCATCACCTCCCGGGTGGTCGCCGGCTTGTGGGCGTAAGTGGTCAGGGTGCTCAGCAAAATGGGGCACGCGCGCGCCCGTGCGGCATGCGCGCAAGACTCCTCAGAGCCGTAGGTAAGGCTGCGCAGGGCGATGCCCGCAGCAGTGACCATGTCCACATTTTTATGTTCGAAGAACACCTCAGGGCGCGAGGGAAACATCATGAAGACGTTTGTTCAAGTCTAAAGAGGGCCGGAGGCGCGCTGCAAAGCTGATCCAAAGGCCATACTGAAGTTACTTGGAGTTAAAAGCTTAAAAAGCAAATGCAAAATCCGTCTTCAACTGAGGGACCCTCAAGGGCACGGCAACAGCAGCTGCCCGCCCGAAGGCCGTGCGCCAACGCTCCCCCTGCACTCCTCCTGGGTTCTGTCCATGGCCGTCGCTGGCTAGACAGGTCAGGATCACCAGCAGCATGCCGATGCAATGGGAGTCCTTGTGGCGTACTTCCCCTAGGCGCACCAGGTCTGCAGCGACCATGGCCAAACGATCCACCTGGTGTGGGTCAGGCACTCTAAACAAAACTAAGCCACCGAAACCAGAAGACATGAAGGCACCACCTCACACCCCCGCCTGGTTGGTGGCAGCGCTCCAAAGGTTCCTCAGCTTGGGCGCTAGCACGTAGACGGCTTCCAAAGAAGCTACAACCACCTCGGCATCCCGAGGGAGGGAAGCTCCAGCCGACAGCACGGCGATGCCTACTTCGGGGGAGACCAGGTCGGGCTCCCGAAGTGTCACCTTGCCGATGATGCGGCACAAGGCCAGCGCCACGGAGCGGCTCTCAGGAAAGCGCTGATGCGCCAAAGTCACGGACCGCAGCATTCCATCGCGAGTCAAAGCCTTGAGGCTGACTCCGCCTACATCCAGGGCACTCTCGAGAGCACGCGCGCCTGCGCCTTGAACCTTGCGGTCCTTTGCGTAGACATCCATGGTGGTGGTGATGTCACGGAAGCCTACTGGCACCATCTCTTCCTCTGCATCATCCAAAGCATCCGAGGGCTTTGGCTCTTTCACCAGGATTGCGCCGCCGTTCCCTGCCAGCACAAGCGCTAGGTAAGCAGTCAATGTAAACCTAGTGTTGGTCCATTGTTTGTATGCGCGCTTGCTGTCAAAACTGGCGACCAAGGAATTGCAAGCAGAAGTTAAACATGGGGCTTGGCAGCAGGGATCAAATATAGTTAGCATGGAATGCCATGGACCCTATAAATTCAATCCCAAGGCGTATTCGAGGCTTCCATAGTTCGCCCACCTGCTGGAATCCAAATTACCTTCAGGGGGAGAGGGATGGGTGTGAGGGTCCCTGTTCCCTTTCCCTAATGTTGCCTACACAGTGAAAAGATAGTACCATTGACTTCTAGGGGTCACCCTCGCCCAATTCCGTTTCTAGGGACGCGGGGGTGACCAAACCTCATCCCTGTGCGTTCGAGGCCTTTCGCCGCATTGTAGATGGTGCCCAGCGCCAAAAGGGCCCTTGGCACCAAGCGAGGCTCAGCCTGCCATCCGATAGATAAATAACTAAATTCTCTTTTGGCAATTCGTCCAAAACCAAGATTTAGTTGATTCTGTGTCTTTCATGAGTCTTGGGTCCAGCCAAACGTAACAACTAGTCAATGATAGGACATTCATGGGAATTCTGACTGTTGGAAGGGGCCTGTGTGGAAACACCTACAGGGATACAGAACCAAAACCCGCACGTGCAACATGCCTAATATCACCAAACCAAGTCTATCGTTTTACAGTCGTTGTACGTACTCAGGGATGGAGCTTGGTCCAAATAACACAAACCCGATACACAGCTTGGATTTGCCGAGACAAACACTAATGCAAACACTAATGCAAACACAATGCGATCATATGCGAGCATCATATCGTTCAAACCAAGCACCTGACAAAACACAGATTCAAAAACCAACACGGCCGTGCCTTGAAGCAGCGCAGGGCGAGTTTTGCTGCGTCCGCCTGGCCTCGCAGATTGGAGGTATTGTTGGCCAGCAGGATGATCTGCAAACCATGCTCCGTAGTCAGCGGGTACACATCTGGCTCCTGCTGCTAGCTGTGTGTGTGTGTGTGTGTGTGTGTGTGTGTGTGTGTGTGTGTGTGTGTGTGTGTGTGTGTGTGTGTGTGTGTGTGTGTGTGTGTGTGTGTGTGTGTGTGTGTGTGTGTGTGTGTGTGTGTGTGCGTGCGTGTGTGTGCGTGCGTGCGTGCGTGCGTGCGTGCGTGCGTGCGTGCGTGCGTGCGTGTGCGTGCGTGCGTGCGTGGGTGGGTGGGTGGGTGGGTGGGTGGGTGGGTGGGTGGGTGGGTGGGTGGGTGGGTGGGTGGGTGGGTGGGTGCGTGCGTGCGTGGGTGGGTGGGTGGGTGGGTGGGTGTGTGTGTAAGTGAACGTGTAAGTGGAAGTGTAATATGTGTGTGTGTGTGTCTGTGTGTCTGTGTGTCTGTGTGTCTGTGTGTCTGTGTGTGTGTGTCTGTGTGTGTGTGGGTGGGTGGGTGCTTGGGCTGGGTGAGTACTGGGTGGATGGGTGGCTGGGTGGCGTGCATGGTGCGTGTGTCTGTGCGTCTTTGTACAAGTGTCAGTGTGTGCCTATCTGCCCGTCTCTGTCTCTAGCTGCCTGGTTGGCTGGCTGGCTGGCTGCTGGCAGTCTCTGTCTGTCTGTCTGTCTATCTGTCTGCCTGTCCGTCTGCATATGTCTTCATGCCCGCATGTGTCTCCAATATGCCAGGACTAGCCGGACGAGCTTTGATCCATGCTGAACTGACAACATCGCAAGGCATGTCACCCGTGGGGTTGCATCAGCCGCAAATTCAATACACACTTCCTTGCCCCTAGCTGTGCGTGTGTGAGCATGGGGCATGGTTGTCAACGAAGCAAAGCAACTCATACAACTCCACCAAGCAACCACGGCCGGTCCTTCATCAAGGAAAGGGCAAAGTTCACATGGGTGTTGGTGAGGCGTCTCACATTGTCCGGTGTCAATGACAAAGCAATACTGGCCAACAGCCGCATTGGCAGCTCCGGCGTGGCTGTTCTCAAGCCCCTGTCTTCCAAGTGAATAGTGATCAGGTCGGTGACTGAGTCGAAAACAGGTCGCGCCAAGCTATCTGCCTTGTGGCTCTCCTCCGAGCGCAAAAGGGACATCAAGGCTTCAAGGGACCACAAGTGAATCTGCGCGCACAATGGGAAGAAGTGAAGTATGTCTGTGATGATGCCTACGTGTTTCCAGGCTTCACCTGCTTCGGCAAAATGCTCTGCATTTATTGACACTGCCACAACGTAGTCAAGAGCTGTCTTTGCCGTGTCAGCTTCGCCCAAGCACCCTTCCATGCGCTTGTTCAACAGTATGTCGCACACCACATTGACAGAACTCGCCCCCTTCCTGCGAAACTCCCTGAAATCGGGTACACCCAGGGGTGGTGTGCGAACCATGCAAGCACCTGCCATAAATCGAGCGCTAATATCAATGGGCTTCTTTTTCTTCGGTTCCGAAGAAATGCCAGCTCCAGTGAGGAGCGCACCAAAAAGGCCTTGGTCTTCCTCTTCCTCTTCTTCCTCGAGCTCTTCGCTCTCCTCCTCCTCAGGTTCTCGCTCCCTTTGCTGGGCAGTGTCCCGGGGCGAGGCCGTGAGCTCTTTGTCTGAGGCCCCAAAAAAGTCCACGGGTGCGGCTTTGGGAGCCTCGGCCGCTTCGGCCGCTTCGGAGGCTTCGGAGCCGGCGAAAGCAGCGAAAGCGGGGGGGGCCAAGTCCAAGGCAGGCACTGCACGGGGTCTCTCAGAGCCCCTGGTTTCAAAGCCGGAAAAGGCTGCAATGGGAGGCCTCGAGAGTGGCCTGCCACGGGCGTCCACCGCCTCCCACACCGGCTCCTCCTCTGAATCACTGAACTCGTCCGGCTCGTCCGGCTCGTCCGGCTCGTCCGGCTCGTCCGGCTCGTTGAGATCTGGCTCCAGCTGCCCGCGGCCCACAAAGCCATGATCGGAGCTCGCGCCTCGCTGGCCATAGCCGGCGAAGAAGTTCCGCGCTTCCGGCTCGCGAGGAGATGCCCGAGGTGAGGGCTGGGGATCAGGCTCACGCTCCGCTGGGCTGCGTTCACGTCGCGGACTCCGGGGGCTTGGGCGGCTGTTTGACTCATCGGCGATGGCTAAAGCCTCAGCCGGAGAAGGCCAGCCAAGGCTGGCGGCTTGGTAAGCGACGCGGCTGTGGTACTCTCTGGAAGCTGGGAGTTCCATTCGGTATCGGGATGCAGGACCTGATCCTTCAGGAACAAGCTCTGGCATCATGTGCCGCATTGCTGGGTACTGGTTTGTGGTGGCTCGCGTTCCTGCAATGACTTCATCCTCTTCCATGGGGTATTCAGCAGGCTCCCCTTCCAACATGAAGTCATCCACCTCATCTGGCTGCAAAATCTTGTCCCTCCGCAGCCAGAAGGTCCTTTCCTTCTCCATCTCCAGCTCAAGGCGTGCTTCATCCGCCAAGCGCTGCTGCTCATGGATAAGGCGCTGTTGTCGAACCAACTCGTCGCAAAGCTCGGGGTCGTTCGGCGCCAGGTGCCTCAGCTCCGAGAGGTTTTGCGCTTCGTCCATCTTCCGATTCAGCTCCCGCACTTCCGTGGCCATGCGGGCGCCCGTGGTTCGCAGGTGGTTCAAGGTCATGTCCATACCATCCTTGGCGAGCATCAGCTCCTCCTTGGTCATCCGTGTGTGCACTGATGGCCCCTCCTCCCTGGCAATGTCCCGCACGGACTCATAGGCCACATCGCCGTCTGTGAAGTCCTTGCTGGGCTCTGCGGGCGGCTTCGCACGCGGGGAAAGAATTCCGGGAACTCCGCAGTAAGGAAATGGCAAGCCTCCGGCAGGCGGGAACTCTGGCGGCGTGATGTTTGGCTCTTCCGCATTTACTGAGGTCACAGGGGCATGTGCTCCAGCCGCGGGCATTTGCTGTAGCAAGCGCTTCGTGCTCTCCGCTCGCTCCATTTGCTCCTTCACTGCCGAGTACCGGGCCTGCAGCTGCTTGAAGTGCGCGAGCTTTGCCAAGGGGTCCCACTCTTCCGCTGCACGCAAGGCCGAGGAATCGCCCAACACCTGGGACACGGCAGAAGCGCGTCGAGGCCCCGGCACGCCTTTGGGGGCGATGTTGGCTATGTGGGCCAAAGGGAACTCTGCCTTCAGCGTGGAGTTTTCACTTTGGAGCTGTGCCAAAAGCTCATCGATCTTGTACTGTGGCAGTTCCAGCTCGATCTCCACATCCTGCGGCCCGTCATCCGACTCGCTATCTTCTCCCACCCTGGCCATTCATGCCAATTTGAAAGCAGAAGACTTGTAGCTGCCTAGAGCGGCCATGGCCTCACGGATGCAGTGCCAAAGCCAACAGCTGCGACCCCGGCACCAGTGCCAAGACTCAAAGCACCCAATTGCTTCTCCTGTAGCCGCACTCAAACGGCAAGCAAATAAACGAATAGCAATTGGTGTACACATACACACACACACACACATATATATATATACACACATATTCGTTCAATTCTCAAGCACTTGTGCGGGTTTGATCCAAAAGAGCAATTCCAGCTCGTACACTTCTGGCGGGCACGGAGACTCCTTGGAGAGGCACCCGGATCAAGACCTGGTGGGTGTCAGGCCGGCCCACGCAAGCGACCGTGCGATTTTTCGACCGCAGCACTCGGGCACCATGCGAGCAGAACATGTTGTGAAGCGCTTCTGCTTCGGCACCGGTTATGCAACACGAGTGCAACGAGTGGTCTACGAGTGATTGTTGTTTATTCATATCTTTTTGGGGGGATGGGGCAATCCCATGGTTCCTCTGCCAAAAATCTGTATAATGGCCATCGCTATGTCTTATAATTTGCCGAAGGACTGCGTTGTGACCAATGGCTCAAGCGAGGAGTCCGCTCTTTCGCTTCCCTTTGCCTCGAAGGGCATCTCAGAGATCTTCTCCAGCCCAATGCTGGCAAGCCTCGGCTTGAAGCTCACGCTACAAACGCACCAAGGGCTGGGGCTGCACAGCTTGCGCTTGCAGCCCGCCTCCACCCAGGGCCGGAACAGCAGATTGACGAAACGCGTTCTTCATACCAAGCCATCTTTGATGGGAATGGCTGGGCTGGAATCTTTTGGACTTGAGAATGGGCGGAGTGCTGGCACTGCTTGCCAGCAAAAAGGTCATAAATGTGGCAAACCAGTCCGCACAGTCACACCCAGCAAGCTTGTCACCCTCCCCTCCTCCCCCCAAAGAAAAACCTCAAGCAAAGCCTCGGAATGCCACTACGGCTCGCCCCAGGTCAATCTGAACCAATTAAGAAGCCAGCAATGGTCGTAGCACTGGCTCCTCGAGCTGCCTGATCAGGGTGTAAGCCCAGCCTTCAGTTTGGGGATGCGCCAATACTCAAACAACATCACCCCATGAAGCATTTGAGCGTCGCTGTCAACAATGCTGACCAAGTGTTAGGCGTGCCGAATGCCAAGAAACACATACTAGAAACACATGCCATAATCAGAAGCGCCCAGCCACAGACTCAACTTGACAACCGCAATCATCTCCGAAAGGCGTCCACTGCCATTCAATGCCTGCCTCCACAATTCCAGCAGCCGATCAAGCAAGTGCCTGTAGAGGGTGCCGTCCTGTCTGCAGTCAGTTAAAAAACAATCACAAGCTTTCCAAATCAGGGTCAAATCAGCCCATGGGATTCACAACACTAACTAACGCATCACATCACCTATTGCGTCTGAAACCAGCAACACATGATGCTTCCAAGCACGGAAGGAATTTCTTTTCAAATGCACCCCAGGTGCATCCGAACCGTTTTCCCTGGCAGCGGCTCATCACGAGGGCAAAGGCCCTCTAATCGATCTGGGGCTCACAGTCTGGGGGCCGAAATTGGAAAAGCGCCATGGCCGAAATTGGAAAAGCGTCATGGCTTCACGGCTTCGCCGATCACCTGCAACAAGTCCACGTGAAAAAAAATGTTCACAGGAAGCCTGATGACATTGAAGCCCACCTCGGTTCAACTCCAATTGTCCGGATGAAAGCTTAGTAATGCGCTCGTTGGGAGTTGACGACTGGCACATTTTGGCTCGGGCACCGCGCCTGCACTGCTTAAGCTGCAGCTGAGGTACGTACAGCAAAATAGGCCAAGGCACCTGCAGCCAAACGGCAACGTAAAACTTGGCAAGGGCCCAACAATGCTCAAGGCGGCAGAATGTGTGAGAAGTTGCCCTTGTGATCCAGCTCTGCAACTGGGCAATGATTTTGTGTGTGTGTGGGGCCTGCTCCTGCTTTCTTGCTTATGCCAAAAGCATCCAAAAGCAACCACTCCCACAAAAACCGCCTACGCGAGACCGAGCTGACACAAAAGCCTGCCTACGCGCCGAAGCTACAATGCGTGCCCCAACACATTTAGGGCGGCGCAAAACTGCACCTTGTCCAAACTTGGTGCACAAAGTGCATTTTGTGGCAGCTTCAGCTTCACACTCGCGACTTTTCAGTACAAGCACAGAGCACATCCTCTAAGAATGACAAATTATCTGAAAGACAGGTCGAAGGCAAAACCTAGGCAAGGCACACAGGAATCCAACAAGCCCACAAAGGAAGGCCGAGTTCTGAAGGCTCCCCCCGTTGGGTCTTGGATGCCTACGCAATGCACTACATGAAGCCTACGCGAAAACTGCCTGATTTGGAAACGGCGTGCTTATTGGACATACATCGCATCAGTCACCCCTTCATAAAAGCACGTGAAAACTCAACCTATCAAATGCTCGCCAACACGACTGCCCACACGAAGCTTCGCAACACGAGCCTCCCTGAAATGCCTACACTGTTGTGGCCCTGTCAGTCGAATACCTATGCCGTGTATAAAGCATGTCGCCAGGAAGTTGTGGGCCTTTATCCCTGGCAAACATTCCTGCCGGCAGCTGTGTTTGCATTGCCCAGTTGCATCCACGTCCATTGGCTTGACATGCGCAACGCGCCAAGTGCCCATGGCCTTCCCACAAGCAACCCGCGCCGCCCATCTCTTGGACCGAGAGTGCCTGGTCTAACCCAGTAGAGCGCACCAGCAGCCGCAGAAACGACAAAGGGTTCGATGCAGCTGCTACTTCGAAGCCCCAAGGCGACAGCAAAGCCTCGCAGCGCTAGGCCATCACACCGGTTTTTTGATACCAGAACGCATGCACTGCCAAATGTGCCGTCAGGTGTTTGGCTGGTGTCCTGAGGTGATGCGGAGATGCCCGCTTCAGGCAGGATACCCTCCCTTCCACTAACTTAGCACCTGACAGGGGGTGCCTACAACAGGAAGTTCATCTTCCAGGTACCTTCCCACAGTTGCTATGTTAGTGGGGGGGAGGGTATTTCTTTGCGCAGTGCAGCCAAAGTTGCCACATCTTCTTCTGATTTCATGCCTCACAATATGAGAAACAACCAGTGATTTGCTCGTCTAGTCGTGAAACATTGCCCGCCAGTGGTGCAAAAGGACTCCGAATAAACTTGCGTAAACATAGCACACATGCCCCAGCAGGCAGTCCCCACTTGCGGCATTTTGAAGCTCCCAATCATTTCGCACAAAATACCTCCTTCCACTCAACATTCCCAGAAGTCTTTCTTGCGCACAGGCAAACCCCGCTTCCCTCTTTGCATCCCGGCCTGTGAAGCACACGCCTGCGGGCTGGCTTGTCGCGGGCTTGGCGTCACGGGCCTTGCCGCCCATCGGCTCCTTGGCGATCCGAGGCGATGCCGGACATGGGCTCTCTAAATGACGAAACCACCAAATGGGTTGCTTCTCCCTATGGTTTTGCCGTGGCTTCCCGGTGAAACCATCCAAAGGCTACCCTTAAACAAATACACACCGACATAGAGCCGCAGGATGTGCAACATCGTGCAATGCAACGCGCAGCAAGCAAGATTGCAAAGGCGCGGATCTGCTTTCCCTCGGTTGCATTAGAAGGCCATTTAGGTACTCCTGCAACATCGAAGGTATGACTCTGGAACTTCATTTGCTTCAGACGTTTTAGTTGAGTTCTTTTAAATGTTTGATTGGGACCTGGCCGTATATCGGCTGCCAAGCACGCACACACACACACACACTATTCCCTGAGGGGTTTTCGTAGTCTTCATTATCGCCGCTGAAATCATGCCGGCCAACTTCAGCCAGCGCATGGTTGAGCCGTTGAGCCAGTTGCCAAGGCTCATTCGCAGGCAAAGGAGTTGCCAGGACGTTCGGCCCAGATGAGCATGGCCCCAAGCAGCCGGTTTCCTGAAGGCAACGTTTCTGACCAGCTCTGCTTGCATCGTACCAGAGCCAGCAAAAGAATGAACATCTGAACTTCCAGAAGTAAACAAAAGCACACCGCCCACACACAGCCCTGACTCTGAGTAGTGCAACACGGCTAACATGATCCGCCTGCCGGAACAAGTGTCCAAATGAGAGAGCCACTGAAATTGAAGGTAACGACATGCTGAACGGCGACCCTTGGCCTGACCGTTTGATGATAGCGGCTGGTGAGCAGAAGCAATATGATTTCGGTTCAAGATTGCTCAAAAGCGCTCCCCCGCCTGCACCTCAACTCCTTCCGGTGCGAGGCTGCGCAGCATACGCAAGCAGCCTCGCGGCATGAGCCGTGAATCTGGAGGAAAGCAACGAAGTTGGTTGAACGATCGTCAACCAAAGTGCTGATCTGTCAGAATTCAGTAGATGAAAGCCAACCAAGCTATGAAGGTCCACCTTGTATCTTGAATCATTCATCGCCACTTCTAGTTTGTGAAATTGAAAGGTTTGTTTGTCTCACGAGCCTTCCGCGGCGGCAATGGCACTGCCTTTCTTTCTCATGTGCAAAGCTCTTTACATTTCCGCTTGGGCGTGTGACTCAACACGTTGTTCAAGTGGCATGTATCTGTGTCCATCCAATGCACATAGTTGCATTGCATTGCAGCATTGAAATCTGAACCATTCGTGACAGAATGACGCGTCATCAGTCTTTTCATAAACCTGCCGCTCTCCCAGCGCAACTCTTTCCCAGCAAGTGTCCATCAAGTTGACAAAAACACAATTCGAACATGCCTCACGCGTATTGCCCACACCACCACCCACTCGCGCACAAACAAACAAACACAATCAAACTCAAACAAACAAAAACAAACACAAACACAAACACACACACACACACACACACAGACACAAACACAAACACAGACAAACACACACACACACACAGAGACACACACACAAACAAACACAAACACAGAAATACACGCGAGCAGTCACACAGGCGCATAGATAGGCGTGCGCGTGAGCACCCGCACAAAACAGCAAACACACACACACACAAACACGCGCCAAGACACACACACACACACACACACGCACATTCTGCCGGCGAGCACGCCCTGCAGGCACGCACGTTTGCTCACGCGGCACATTCACAATAGCGTTCCCGTCGCTTCCAAATGACATAAGAATATGTCATAATCTACCTCGGGGGGCACGCATCGCAAGACTAAGACTCATGTTGCTAATTGCCTGCGCCCGGATTGTGCCGACATTAGTGGTATATAGCCGTTAGTAGTAGTAGTAGTAGTAGTAGTAGTAGTAGTAGTAGTAGTAGTAGTAGTAGTAGTAGTAGTGGTAGTGGTAGTGGTAGTGGTAGTGGCAGTGGTAGTCGTAGTAGTCGTAGTAGCCGTAGTAGTAGTAGTAGTAGTAGTTGTTGTAACAGTTAGTAGTCGTAGTAGTCGTAGTAGCCGTAGTAGCAGTAGTTGTTGTTGTAGCAGTTAGTAGGAGGAGTAGTAGTAGTAGTAGTAGTTGTTGTTGTTGTGGTAGTAGTAGTAGAACTAGTAGTAGTAGCAGCAGCAGCAGAAGAAACAATAGTAGTAGAAGCAATCGTGGCAGTAGCAGAAGTCGTAGCAGTAGTAGTCGTAGTAGTAGTAGTAGTAGTAGAAGTAGTAGTAGTGGAACTAGTAGTAGTAGCAGCAGCAGAAACAATAGTAGTAGAAGCAATCGTGGCAGTCGCAGAAGTCGTTGCAGTAGTAGTAGTAGTAGTAGTAGTAGTACTAGTAGTGGTGGTGGTGGTGGTAGTAGTAGAACTAGTAGAAGTAGTAGTAGTAGTAGTAGTAGTAGTAGTAGTAGTAGCCGTAATAGTAGTAGCAGTGGAAGTAGCAGTAGAACTAGTAGTAGTAGCAGCGCAGCAGAAACAAGAGTAGTAGAAGCAGTCGTGGCAGTAGCAAAAGTCGTAGTAGTAGTAGTAGTCGTAGTAGCAGTATCAGCAGTTGTGCTCGTAGCAGAAGCAGTGGGAGGAGTAGCAGCAGGAGTAGGAGTAGGAGTAGTAGTAGTAGCAGCAGCAGGAGCAGGAAGAGTAGGAATAGCAGGAGTGGCAGTAGCAGCAGCAGTGGTGGTAGTTCTCTAGTACTGTGACCGTGCTAGCTTCCAACGCGCTTTGCGAGGGCACTTCATGCCTTGGGGGGGCCGGACTTCCAGCCCTTGCCAAAAAAAAGACACACATGCACGAACACAGCTTCTTAGCAGAACAATATGTACTGTGATCAAGAATCACAGAGGGAAAGCAGCCGAAAGCAGCCGCCGATGGTCAGTCACCTTTGCCTTACTCATACATCTCATACCTAGCCTTCTGCACCATCAGCTTGGCAGGAAGAGCTGGTGCAAACATACACCACGCCTGGCGTGTCTTCTGATGCGTCCAACAGTTGCCCAACCGACTTAGTCGCACCATGGCACGTGACATGAGCCTCTTACCTCTTTGGGAAGCTCCGCCTGGTATGATGTTCAGAATGGGCCAGGGCAACATTCTGTGCTGCTTTGAGAGTAGGGCATATCTGACGGGTTTAGCAAAGCCTCGCAATCGAGCTGAGAGCCCATCTGAGAGAGGCAACTGGGAAGGAATCAACAGACAGAGCGACAAAAACACATTTTGAAGGGGCTAATGCAAAAAACCAGGGCTGCAGAAATTTGATGGGGCTACACACCCATGCTCAGTGTTAGGCATCCCTGCCTGCCATGAGCCATGTGAGAAGTCAGCAGTCTGCAACGCAGCTGACTTCTAATTGATAGTGGCAATCGAAGTGCCAAGTTACGGCGGCCTTGCTCCTTTCCTTCCGCATGCTGCCAAACTTGTCCTCGCATCCTGGGTATGGAAGGCGCACAACTGACTCTTGCCTTGCATTTTCAGGTGAGCTGTTGATCGGGCGTAGTTTTCTCGCTTGCTTCTTCATCTCTTACCTGCAACTAGGACCGATGCATCGGAGCCTCCTGGGTATGTTCAAATAGTTTGTGCAAACTTGGGGTGGGTTTGACTTGTAAAATGGGCTGGGTTTCGGGTGGTGTCAGGGTTGAGTTAGATTCCATTTAAGGTCGATGTATGTAGGGTTTGGTCTAGGTTTTGGCTCTGGACTACGGTCGCATTTAGGGTTGACTTTGGGAGAGGTTTCGATAAGGGTAGTGTAGTGTGGGGGTGGTGTTTTAGGCTCGGTGCAGTTTGCAAGCGGGCTAAGGCTGGCAATGAGTTTGTTTTGCCCGGCTTCCTACAAAGCCCAAATAACAGCAAACAAAAAGCCAATGGACCCACACACGATTACGATGCCAAAAGCAAATATGATTCCTAAAGACGGAACCAATGCAAACTGCCCAATTGTGATTGCAAGCAAGCTGCGATGCTCTCCATGGCAAAGACACAAATGCCAGCGATTTAAAGTGCAACACCTTGGCCACACGGGTTCAACTCGTAGCCGGGAGTTTTATTACAAACTGGCCAGAAAAAGAATGTCCCGTCAGCCACACCGTGTGTTTAACAGCAGCTCGTCTTGTTTGTGAGGCGGCCAAGAATTTCCCAGCAAACATGGAACCCAACAAGGGAAGTCCCTGAACAAAGATTTCCTCTAGCAACTGAGACTATTGAGATGTTCGCCTGAGCGAGAGTAGGCTTGCAGGTGCTGCTCTGCCGCTTCCAGCAGGCTTCGGTGCAACCTGGGCACCAAAGCCAGCAACAGGCATGCTGGCAAGCCGCGATTCCGCATCGCACGTGGCTGGGAAGAAAGCTGTACGCTACATCTAGGCATTTGAAACAGCGGTGGATTGGACATTTGTTCTGGCAATGGCAGTTGGCAGGTGGGCTGTCTTGCATTCGTCTGCTCAAGTCTTGTGAAAGCATCCCTCACCTCCTAGCGCAGATCATCTGGCTCCATGTCAGGCTGTCTCAAGGCCATGCTGAGCATTGCAACGGCTGCAGAAGGGCAGAACAATTCAACTCTGTTGCCATCATCACTGGAGCATCGCACATCCATGCTACGCAAGTTCAATGCAGCGCAACTGCCGCGCTGACTTCTTCTCCGAATCCACCAGGGACCGCATGCTTGGAGGAGCACCCAGTCTGCATTGCATGTGGGTACCATTCTGATGCGCGGGCAATCACTTGGCAGCTTAGCTGCGAAGTGGTGCCATTCCGGAAGCGACGGCTGGCATGCGTTGCCAGGCACTTGTGTTTGCCAACTTGGTCTTCCAGCCTTGAACCGGCATGGGCTGCAACACTGCTGGCATAACTTGGATACAAAGCGATGTTTAGCCAACACCCGTGACGCTAGTTGATCGGTGGCAAGCATAGTTTACAAATTCACAGTTCAGGACGATTGCCCGACTGCGTGCGACGTATGGCTGCAGGGGGTTTCAATGGCCCACCGTCCATCTCGCCCCTATCACAGCCAGTGAGGTTCACCGCTACTCAGACTCCAAAATGCCATGTGGGAGGTCTGCACGGGATGTCGGATCATGGTCTCCAGGTGCACGGGAAGAGGTTAGCTCGTCTTCATAATCGTATTCATCACCGTCATTGTCCATGCTGTTCTGGATTTCCGTGCGGATTTGCTGGAATCTTTCCTCACAAGTAATTCACAGGATCTGGCCAATTCTGAGAACCTTTGGCAGTCTCTGCGCATCGTTATTTTTGCCTACCTTCCCAAGGGGTACTGCAAAAGAGCTTCCAGGCTTCAGCTTGCCACGTGTGTGTCATCCAAAATCAAAACCCGCAAATTTAAAGTGAATCATCCAAATGCATGCACAAATCACCTCCCGGCAATTGCCAGGCTACGTGGTTGTCATCACAGGCCAATGAAGCAAGTACTCCCAGCTCGCTCACTTCATGCACCCAATCACGTCCGACCGCAACTTCGAACCCACTTGCTCCGCCGCCGCATCATCTAACTTGCAAAACACCTGCGCATGTGCACTTTGCATCACAAACCTCAGACGTCTTGGAGAGTTCACGTCCGGGCAAAGGCCAGGCCACTCGAACAAAGTAGGTAAGGTTGATTTGGTTGTCATCACAGGCCAATCAAGTAAGCATTCCCAGCTTGCTCACTTCATGCACACAATCACGTCCGACCGCATCTTCAACCACACATACTCCGCTGAAACATCACCCCAAGTTCCAGAACACACGCTCATGTTCACTTTGCACCATGATCCTCAGACGTCTTGGAAAGTTCACGTCCTGGCAATTGCTGGGCCACTCGAACAAAGTAGGTAAGGTTGATTTGGTTGTCATCAGAGGCCAATCAAGCAATCATTCGCAGCTTGCTCACTTCATGCACTCAATCACGGCCAACCTCATCTTCAACCCCACTTGCTCCGCCGCCGCATCACCCCAACTTGACAAACACCTGCGCGTGAGCACTTTGAATCACAATCCTCAGACGTCTTGCAGAGTTCACGTCCTGGCAATTGCCAGGCTACTCGGCAAAAAGTAGGTAAGGTTGATTTGGTTGTCATCAGAGGCCAATCAAGCAAGCATTCCCAGCTTGCTCAATTCATGCACACAATCACATCCAACCGCATCTTCAAGCCCACTTGGTACACCGCCGCATCACCCCAACTTGACAAACACCTGCGCATGTGCACGTTGCATCACAAACCTCAGACGTCTTGGAGAGTTCACGTCCGGGCAATTGCCAGGCCACTCGAACAAAGTAGGTAAGGTTGACTTGGTTGTCATCACAGGCCAATCAAGCAAGCATTCCCAGCTTGCTCACTTCATGCACACAATCATGTCCGACCGCATTCCCAACCCCACTTACTCTGTCGGAACATCACCCCAAGTTCCAAAACACACGGTCATGTGCACTTTACACCATGATCCTCAGACGCTCTTAGAAAGTTCACGTCCTGGCAATGGCCAGGACACTCGAACAAAGTAGGTAAGGTTGATTTGGTTGTCATCACAGGCCAATCAAGTAAGCATTCCCAGCTTGCTCACTTCATGCACACAATCACGTCCGACCGCATCTTCAACCACACATACTCCGCTGAAACATCACCCCAAGTTCCAGAACACACGCTCATGTTCACTTTGCACCATGATCCTCAGACGTCTTGGAAAGTTCACGTCCTGGCAATTGCCAGGCCACTCGGCAAAAAGTAGGTAAGGTTGATTTGGTTGTCATCAGAGTCCAATCAAGCAAGCATTCCCAGCTTGCTCAATTCATGCACACAATCATGTCCGAACGCAACTTCAAACCCGCTTGCTCCGGCGCCGCATCGCCGAAACATGAAAAAACACCCGCGCGTTTGCACTTTGCATCACAATCCTCAGACATCTTGGAGAGTTCACGTCCTGGCAATTGATCAAGCAAGCATTCCCAGCTTGCTCGTTGCATGCAGCCAATCACGTCCGACAACATCTTCAAAACCACTTGCTACGCCGCCGCATCACCCCAACTTGCAAAACACCCGGGCATGTGCACTTTGCATCACAATCCTCAGACGTCTTGGAGAGTTCACGTCCTGGCAATTGCCAGGCCACTCGGCAAAAAGTAGGTAAGGTTGATTTGGTTGTCATCACAGGCCAATCAAGCAAGCATTCTCAGCTTGCTCACTTCATGCACACAATACCATCCGACCGCATCTTGAAACCCACTTGCTCCGCCGGCACATCGTCCCAACTTGCAAAAACACCCGCGCATGTGCACTTTGCATCACAATCCTCAGACGTCTTGGAAAGTTCACGTCCTGGCACAGGCCAATCAAGCAAGCATTCCCAGCTTGCTCATTCCATGCACCCAATAACATCCGACCGCATCTTCAAGCCCACTTGGTACACCGCCGCATCACCCCAACTTGCAAAACACCCGGGCATGTGCACTTTGCATCACAATCCTCAGACGTCTTGGAGAGTTCATGTCCTGGCAATTGCCAAGCCACTCGAACAAAGTAGGTAAGGTTGATTTGGTTGTCATCACAGGCCAATCAAGTAAGCATTCCCAGCTTGCTCACTTCATGCACACAATCACGTCCGACCGCATCTTCAACCACACATACTCCGCTGAAACATCACCCCAAGTTCCAGAACACACGCTCATGTTCACTTTGCACCATGATCCTCAGACGTCTTGGAAAGTTCACGTCCTGGCAATTGCCAGGCCACTCGGCAAAAAGTAGGTAAGGTTGATTTGGTTGTCATCCGAGGCCAATCAAGCAAGCATTCCCAGCTTGCTCGTTGCATGCAGCCAATCACGTCCGACAACATCTTCAAAACCACTTGCTATGCCGCCGCATCACCCCAACTTGCAAAACACCCGGGCATGTGCACTTTGCATCACAATCCTCAGACGTCTTCGAAAGTTCACGTCCTTGCAATTGCAAGGCCACTCGGCAAAAAGTAAGTAAGGTTGAATTGGTTGTCATCACAGGCCAATCAAGCAAGCATTCCCAGCTTGCTCAATTCATGCACACAATCACGTCCGAACGCAACTTCAAATTTGCTTGCTCCGGCGCCGCATCACCGAAACATGCAAAACACCCGCGCGTTTGCACTTTGCATCACAATCCTCAGACATCTTGGAGAGTTCACGTCCTGGCAATTGCCAGGCCACTCGAACAAAGTAGGTAAGGTTGATTTGGTTGTCATCACAGGCCAATCAAGCAAGCATTCCCAGCTTGCTCATTTCATGCACACAATAACATCCGACCGCATCTTGAAACCCACTTGCTCCGCCGGCACATCATCCCAACTTGCAAACCACCCGCGCATGTGCACTTTGCATCACAATCCTCAAACATCTTGGAGAGTTCACGTCCTGGCAATTGCCAGGCCACTCGAACAAAGTAGGTAAGGTTGATTTGGTTGTCATCAGAGGCCAATCAAGCAAGCATTCCCAGCTTGCTCAATTCATGCACACAATCATGTCCGAACGCAACTTCAAACCCACGTGCTCCACCGGCGCAGCGTCCCAACTTGCAAAACACCTGCGCATGTGCACTTTGCATCACAATCCTCAGACATCTTGGAGAGTTGACGTCCTGGCAATTGCCAGGCCACTCGAACAAAGTAGGTAAGGTTGATTTGGTTGTCATCACAGGCCAATCAAGCAAGCATTCCCAGCTACCTCACTTCATGCAGCCAATCACGTCCGACAGCATCTTCAAAACCACTTGCTACGCTGCCGCATCAGCCCAACTTGACAAAAATAAAACAACGCACATGTGCACTTTGCATCACAATCCTCAGACGTCTTCGAAAGTTCACGTCCTTGCAATTGCAAGGCCACTCGGCAAAAAGTAAGTAAGGTTGATTTGGCTGTCATCACAGGCCAATCAAGCAAGCATTCTCAGCTTGCTCAATTCATGCACACAATCACGTCCGAACGCAACTTCAAATCCGCTTGCTCCGGCGCCGCATCACCGAAACATGCAAAACACCCGCGCGTTTGCACTTTGCATCACTCATACTGCCAATGCTTCAGTCTGCAAAGCCTTCCGGCCTTTGTCTTTGAGGCACGTGGATGCGCAAACATGCCATGAGATAGCCTTCGCGTCTCCCTGTCTTCATTAGATCTAAGAAAAAGGCACAAGGCTCTAGCAAAGCAACATCATTGGAGGACATTTTTTTCAAGAGGCCACTGAGCTTGTCAGAAGTTGAAAGCCTGCCTACACCCATTTGTTGAATGCTTACTACTACCTGCAATGCAATTGGTAATAAAGCAAGGCCCCAGGTCATGTTGCTGCGCTCTCTCGGATCTCCCCTGCGATTCGTGCAGCAAAGCCTCATCAAGCTCGTCGAAGAGTTCCCCAAAGCAGCGCTTGATGAGCGAGTTGGTCACTCGGATTTGCTCTTTGCAATCCTGAGGACGTTCACAGGAAGTGAACCCACACAAAGGCAACAAATGCCCAACCTTCGCGGAACGTACCCTGTTGTCCATAAGCAAAACGTACTGCCAGCTGCAAACCCCGGGCCTTTACAGTCGCGGGGTTTGAGCCACGCATGTTGAGGACCATGTTCACTAAGTCCGACCATGTCATCGTGTTTGTCGTCTTGGCAGCATCCTCCCAGACTAAATCCAGCATCTCTGCGAGTACCTCGGCCATACCGATAGCCACGCCAATTATTGTTGCTTAAGGCCTCCCGAGAGACTGCGTTGCGACATGTTGAACATGCTGCGAAGTTGAAAGCAGCATCTGTCCCCCAAATTCTGGTTCACCTTGCATTTGGACCGAGTATCATCGACGTTTACACCCGCATCTGCCATGACCCGCACAATGCCCGGCTCCAGCACAAGCTTCTGAAAGTCAGCCCTGAGCGTGCAACGGCCCTTCAACTACTGTGGGCATCTGCCCGTGCATGTCGCTTCCATGAACCCTACGTCCCACCAACGCGACAAACCAGGCTTCACCCTTGCGTGCAACTATACTGGCTCTAAGCTGCTGGTTGAGCGTAAGGTCCTGCCATCATGTTTCCGACTTGGAGATCCCAAATGCCTGGAGTTTTCTTATAGGCTCATTTTCCGTTCTTACACTCTAAAATGGGTGCCTGTTTTCAACACATCTACAAATTCATGCATTACGAGGGTTGCTGTGTGTGTGTGTGTGTGTGTGCGTGTGTGGGTGTCGCTGAGGCATGTCCATCGCTTATCCCCTGCAATGCATTGAAAGCATGTCTGCAAACGGTAGGTCCAGCCGCTGTCAACTTGACAGGCTTAAAGAGGCTACACTTGGAACCTGTCCTCTGGGACGATGGCCATCTTGTCTAGCTCATCTCGCAGCTGGCCCACAATGTAGGAGATCTCGATTTTCTGCTTCTCCTTGGGCTGCAAAAGGGAAACACCAGCTAAAGTGTGCCAGGTAGACTATTCAGCACATGCGCCTTGCTGATCAGCATGTCCATGTCATTCTAAACAGCAAGCTGCCAAGCGTCTGTTGAGGCAACTGCTCCAATGACGTCCACCAAAACACCAAGAAGCATGTACATAATGGTGACTGACACCTTCAGCACACCGCGGCTGAAATTTGCTTGGGTAGCACTACTGCTTGCAGCGGATGCGCCAGGCTTTTTTTCTTTTCTATTTTTTGTTTTGTGTGTTGTGTGTGTGTGTCTCTGTCACTGTCTGTGTCAGTGTAAGCGTCTCTGTGTTTGTGTGCATGTGTGTTTGTGCGCCTTCGTGCTTGATTTGTTCAAGCCGAAGGGCCAAAGCCATAAAGAATACCATCAGCGGCCACAGCCCAGGATTGCCGGCAGTAATCCTTTGCTGCGAATCCGCGCAATGTTGTTCATCGCAAATGACAAATGCTTGCTTCACTGCACCCTCATGGTGCCAGGGGAAACAAAGGCAAGTGAGGTTCGAGTTGATCACCTCCGCATTGGCTCCAAACACTGCAGGTAGGAGCAGCGTGTTGATGGACTCTGGCACCGAGCTGAAGAAGGAGGTTCCGATCGCTGAGCCCTCTGTCAATTGTCGGAAGAGAATGGCAAAGGCATACGTGATGATCGCCTGAGCTGCTTTCCCCGCGCTCCGGTCAAGCATGCTTAGCTTGTTTGGCTAGTGCGCAGCCGGGTCCCAAACAATCATCCACTCAGTATTGGCCAGCTTAGCAACTGAGGAGGACGCTCAACCATCGTCAGGTTGGCCACAACCATGGTTATAGCTAGGGTAACTGGGCTTAGTCCCCTTATCATGGTTTTAACCTACTATGTGGTTTGAACACCTTGTGCAGCAACAACTGATGGCACAGAGCAAGTCCCGTGTTGTAATACGAACCCTTGGCAGCTTGGGCCCAAATATGTTAACGTTCCCATACTATGCATTCAGTCTTGGATAAAGTGAATGGGAGTGGTCAGCACAAGAAGACATTAACTAGTTCCAAATCAAGGTGCTTTTAGTGGCAAGCAGGCAAATACATCTGGATGATGTGGCACATGGTGCCAAGGTTCTAAGAGAATGCTTCCTGCTGGGGCATTCCAACCCGATCACTTGCGTTGCGTGACAGTAACTTGATGTGATTCTGAGCTGAGACTGTCATCACTGTCATCAGTCGGGCGGGGGGGAGACAGCATCCAGCGCCCCAAGAGTCGCAACACCCACCGCCAATTTGAGGCAAGTGGCCCACAGCAATGAGAAAACCTGAGCTCAGAAAAGCCGTCCATGGCTTCCAAAACGAACCTGGACCTTGCCTTGTTTTCCCTCTCATCTTGCCATAAGGACCTAAGGCCCTCGCACAGACCGAGCGTGCGGCGAAGGCGAGACCTGTGGCCAGGGTACATCGCGTGAACAACCAAAGTGTTGCCAACTTCCGGGGCGCTTGGGTGAAGTAGTCTCTTCATGGTAAGGTTCTTACAAAATGCATTGGAACCAGTATCTCAAATCAGATCAGTACACAAGGAGTATCAACTTGGTCCGCGTTGCCTTTTTATGCCATGCTTTCTTGGCTGCCGTGCACCATGGTGAATATGATGATAGGCCATTCTGGTGTGAATAGTAAAGAAATCCATGGTTGCTTCAACAACCATGTCCGCTGGACACTGCGTGAACTCCCGGGGCATGAGGATGGATGCCCCCAAAACTGCGCCTTTCACGATGATCATGAGCTCGGGAAATGATCGGAGGAGGCGGGTCAGCCGTGTCAGCCGCACAAGCCTGGCGCGGCAAGATGTGTCCCGGTCCGCCGGTCTGAGTCGAGGCTGCAGACTTAAAATGTGCCCGAACAAACATGCATCCTGTCCGAATGATTCTGTGGCTCAAAAAATACAAGTACCCAAAACGGCACCTTGGCATAAGTGGAAACAAAGGCTAAGACCTGCGTAACCCCAGCTTAATTATTTTGAGCCACACACATGAAGCTTTGTACACTCCCCGACCTGCACATCAGCCCCCAAAAGCGCTCCCGATGGCCTGGCCAAGCGGATCAGGCGCAGCAGCCCAGTGTTCTCGGGCAAGGCAGCCGAACCGCCGGCCAAGAGCAGCAGTGTCGGTGTGATCCAGGTTTCCACCTGTCCAATTGACCGCACAAGAATATGGACAAAAACGCCCAAATAAACCCAGGGGGAAGTGGGGCAACTTCCAACGTACCAGTAGACATTGGTTTGCCCAGTATGCCTTTGTCCTGAGTTCTTGTCTCTGATATTTGGCTATTTGGCCACAAGGCGCATGGTGCCGGCAAGAAGCGATGATGAGAAGTGCTAAGAACAAGTCAAAGCTGAACCTGAGCAGCAGCGCAGGATGCTGCCTGCTTCGCCAAGGGCAATTGCGGAGTCCAGATTTGTGCGGCCAAATGTCCAAAAGTTCTTGAATGCGTTAATCTTGCGTTGGAAGGCAATGAAACGAATGATGATCTCCACCGTGAAGTACAAGCAAAAGAAGTTCTCCTTGGGAGTCAGGTTGGTAGCAGCAAGCTTGCTGTCTGAAAAGCACGCAGGACTAGCGCTAGCAAAGGGCAAAGCCACAACAAAACAAACACTCAGCACCAAATGCAGCTGAGGCACTCCGACTATGAACACCTGAAAACTCAACTTTGAATTACTCAAAACATGCTCACTGGGTTCACCAAATGACAACTGCCCTTTCGGGCCAGTTCTGGCTTCGCTGTCCCTCAATGCATGCACTAAACACCGTCCAAGTTGCTGGATGTGCATTCCAAAGAAGTGCCTCTTTGTTCAGGTCAGCATCCTTACTCGGGGCATGTCACAGTACCCTTGAAGCAACGCATGTTCATGCTACATGTAAACACTTATTTACGGGATACTTGTGTGGAACAGCATTTGAGCTGATTAAAGTGGAGTGCTGCTGTGCGCGACCGGACGGTTCTCCCCTTTAGCCAGCACAATGGCCATGTCCGTGCAACATGGTAATTACCGGATCGAGCTACCAGGTCATTCCATTTTTCAGGAACCCTACCACAAATACCCCACTTACATCCCCCAACACACCCGTCCTCAAACAAATCCAAGACTCACGGCGCAACGCTCTATGCACGTCCCTTTGCGACACTAGCGGCTGCGATGCGCAATCCCCAACACAACACCCTGTGTCAAAGCCAAACAGCCCGACTTGCATAACCATTTTCAGGACAACTGCAGTCAAAGAAATGCTTACCACCAACACACGAAGAAGCTGCCTGTGCGCAGCCAGCACGCAGCAGGAAAAAAGCAGCAGAGTGCCTGCTGAGAACCGGATGCCAACTGAGCAAAGGGGCTACTCCAAGCCAAATGGAATTCAGGATGACGATCATAATCCTTGGCGCCACCAGCACTCTTAATGCTATGTGTATGTGTGTGTGTGTGTGTGTCAATTCTGCTGGCTGCATATTGGCAAATGGCTCAAAATGTGGAGTCCCTCTGACCAGCCACTCAACTGGACAGAGTTTTGAATGCTTTGCCTGCGAATTCAGCCAGGCCGCGTGAGATTGTCGAAAAAAGGATGCCTCGCAATCCTCTGCGCGCAGCCCTCGTCCTTGTAGAAGTCCATCACGTTGTACCTGGTCTGATGAGAAACTCTGCGCTGTTGCCAACATCATCCATGTCATGTCTGTGAAACTATTGGATCCAGAAATCACTCCAGGGTGAGATGGACATGTTCCAAGCCTGGCTGCGAACAGCACTTCATGGGTCATTGACTTTGACAAATCCCTTGTGAAATGAGGGGTTTCCAGGAGAGGGACTTTCATAAAGGGTCAGGTTACTTGGCCTGAGGCTTGCCAAAAGGGATCCTAGAAGTGCGGCTGGCTGACTGCTTCTTCATAGCTGCGGCCGTCGCCTTTTCCTTCAGCTTGTCCTCAGCTGGCTGGGGAATTAATCGGCCAGGGCCGCTGCATCCAGTTTGGGCTAAAAGGCAATAGCATTGACGGACACAAGCTTCATCAACTGCGTCTGCCCTTGACAGTGTGGCTGGTTTGTAGGTCGTGGGTATTGGTCAACAGTACATGCGTCACGACCTCTGGCTAGATGACCACTGGCCTGCGGTGGGCAGGCCAAGGCAAAGGCTCGCAAAGGGCGAGCCCAGGCCAAATGAATTTACAAGAGAGGCTCTTGGGCGTCTTCTCAACATTCCCCACCCCGCAAAGCGCTTTGAGCCTGGGGGCCAAAACACACAACATCTGCCCACAGCATCCCACAGCCCATCAAATGAAACAGCAGGTTGATGCCCAGAACATGCAGTGGCCACACAAAGGAACAATGAAGGACATGGATGGGAAAGCTGCCGTTAACTTCCCCGTCCGGGGTGCCATAGGGGTCAGGTTCGCAGCTCGGGCAGTGTGTTGCTTCACAGACTCCTGCGAGCAAAACATATGCCGCAAAGCAACAGGTGAGGCAACCAACAGCTCAAGCATGCCAGAATGCTGAACTGCTATTACCGTCTGTCAAGCAGGAACGGGCAAACCTAATATTCCGGGAAGTTTTTCACGCAAGTAAGCAGCATCCGTGACGCTCTTTGGGGTCCGCGGTTATCAAACTAGATCTGGTGGGCGCTTTGGACTCGCACAATGGGGGCTGGCAATGCTACACTATCATTGGCAATGCTAAGTTTGCCCCCTACCAAACATTTCATGCGGGGGCCGGGCTGACGCAGGAAATTGCAAAGTCTTTCAGGGACCTTCTTAGAGACACAGCTTTTCCCGCCTCTTTGCTGGCGGCTGCCTTCTTCTTTTTTTTGTCTCTTTTCGCTTTCTCAGCGGCCAAATCATTCCATGAAGCGTCCTTAGGCTGCTTGGGCATACAAGGTAGGGCCACTACGTGAGATGAGGAACAGTTTGCCAAAACATGATGCGTAGCATTCATGGCAACGCCGTTGTGCAAATCTGTTTTCCATGGGTGTACTGATGACAAATACCATGCCCCAAACCTCCCTCCCCCTCGATGCAGACAGGCAATCCTCATAGGGCATGAAACTGGTCTGACTCTTTAACGGCTCTTGGTGGTCTTTTCAAAGAGCTCAAGCGGAGCAATGGTGATACACTCATACATGCAACCATGCTTCAAACAACAAACAGGATTCTCAAGGTCGGTTCCAGACCTCCTCAGGCTCCCTGAACCCAAAGGGCCAAAGCGGCATTGACACTTTTGGCCAGGTTAGTTGCCTGCCACGGGGCTGTCTGGACGCTGCAGTCTTTAAAGGATGTGTCCTGGCGAGAGTGAGGTAGCGATTTGCTTCTCCACGCGGTTTGCAAATCGTTTGAATGGAAGTCGCAACGTCGTCATAGTCTCCCACACTCTTTCTCTGCTTCTGGCACATCGCATGTCAAAGACGACTCGCAACACCAAGGCCTTGCTACATGGTGGGCCAAGGTGCCATCTGCACTGCGATGTCCCTGTACCGCTTCTCCACAAACAAGGCGTCAGCTGCAAGCGGCTCTTCTGGGCTGTCAGGCTCCCGGATCTCCCGGGGGCTCGATGGCTCATCCTCCGATCCCAGACTGTTTGCATCAGAAAGCTATCAAAACACCTCTGTAGCATGTCACATGCCATACCCAGCAGCTCCTTCTCACTAGCCTCGTTTCCCGAAGAGATGGGCAGGTGGAAAAATGCTTGCTTAGGGCAAATGCCGAGCAACATGCAGCCTCCAAACGCTCAATCAACTGTCATTCTGCCAAGGGCTGCATGCGCAAGCCCTTCTTGGAGAAGTTTAAGCTGTAGTTGTTGGCAAATGGGAAAACGGCTAATGTCCGCTGGAACCAAATTCAACAAAGCGAGCGCCGATGGTTCAGTCAAGTCGCAGAGACGGAAAGGCGCTGTGTTGCTCCCTGGGCTTTCAGAACGGAGTGCAGCTATGTCTTGACCGGAATCCCCCCCTTTTGGGGCAACTTTTGAACCCTTAAAAGGAGATCTCGACTCGGAGGTCCCAAGTTTTATACAAAGCAACATGTCAAGACATCTTCCAGCTTACTTGCATCACAGCGAGTGGCTCTGGAGAGGTCCTTTGGTCGGCTCAAGCGATGATGCTTTCCTCGGACACGACTTGCTCCGGTGGGCAAATGCAGCTCTAAAGAGCCCTGGCTCGAAAATCGGGGTGTTGCCCCCAGCCAAAAAGTGGCCAGTTGACCGACCAGAATTGACGGTACACCGGGAGGGAGCGCACCCTGTTCTGCACTTGCGCCATGCTATGACTCAGCCGCAGATTGGCGTTGTGAAGCCTTGCGAAACGCTTTCAGCACATCTCGTGGCCTCCCTGTTGCTCTCAAAATGCACGGAAAAAAGGAACATGTGATGGGTCATCCAAAAGAACCACTGGCCTAGTTGCCGCTTTTGGGGATCCAAACGCAGTGAGGCCAAAACACACGAAACACATTGCATCGCCAACACAGTCAAACATTCAAACACTGACTAAGCATCAAAGCAACTAAGTTCTAACAACTTATGAAGCATCAAAAATGTTGGGGGGGGGGGGGCGGGTTTACTGCGGGTTGGTTTAGGGTCGTTTGGGTTTGGTGGGTTTAGGGAGTTCAGGATGGTTTAGGGTTTATGGTAAACAAGCACAAACAACTGCATCAGGCAGTCCTCTCGGCCTTCCTCCCCTCCCCTCCCCTCCCCTCCTCCCACCCCTCCCCTCCCCTCCCCTCCCCCCCCCTCCCTCCCTCCCCCCCTCCCATTCCCTTCCCTTCCCTTCCCTTCCCTTCCCTTCCCTTCCCTTCCCTTCCCTTCCCTTCCCTTCCCTTCCCTTCCCTCCTTTGTTGCCTTCCTTCCTTCCTTCCTTCCTTCCTTCCGTCCTTCCTTCTTGATGCCCAATCAGCTTTTGTTTGATGCGTAATTTGTTGTTTTGTTGCGTAGTAAGTTGTTTTTGATACCTGTCCTATCCCCTGCCAACAGCTATTTGCTGCATTGTCTGCTGTGCTAATTTGAACATGGCCACAATGCATGTAAATGTGTGTTCGCTCGAACATCGGCAGTTACCACGGCACAAACTGACTTCTGTGGTTCGTTCTCTCTGTGGGGGCGTGGACCTCTCTGTCGCTCACAACGAGAGTGGCTGAAAGGCGCTCATGAGCATCCGAGCCGCGATGCCCGCCGGTTTCCTCGCGAAACCCGAGGTGCATCAAGTGCATTTTAGAATTGTGAAGCAAAAGCATTCTGCAGCCCATGCGAATCCAAATTGGCCTTGCAATCTTTGTATTTAGGATACTGGCTGTTGACTTTGGAAGACTTGCAAGCGGCATCTCTGTCAGCCAAGCGACAGTTCGTGACATTTCTGGCCCATGCCCACCCTCTGACCGCACATGACCTGCCAGGAACCAATGCTCATTCTGCTCATTCGCGATCATGGGCCATGAGGAAACACATGGAATCTGCTTGTGCTGGCCTGTCCGGAAATGCATGCACAAAGCCACTTGAACGTCCACAGAGATATGCCCAAAAGTGTTGTACCCTATTCACTATTCGTTCCCTTCCCCAAACCGTGCATCGTTCTTGAACGAGGCATTCAGTTTCCAGCTTGAATGCCTGCTTGCTCAATCTGTTGCCCAAGACTTCAATCGAATCAGCAAGGTCAAATTCATAAATTTGTATGCCGTTTTGTAAGGGTGACCCTTTGGTGGTTGTTTTGAAGGGAAACCACAAGAAGCGACCCTTTGTTGGGGTGACAAACCAAAATTGCTAATCCTGGAGATTGAAACACCCAGAAATTTCTCGGCGTTTTGTGTAATGGGTACGATTGGAGGAAAACTGGGCGTTCTAGTACGAACAGCTGGAAAGCTACGATGGTTTGGCGTCTAACTAAGGTGCTGCTGGCCGTTTGTGAGGATATTTGAGCCAACAAGATCTGACATCATATCAATATAGTTTCCTTTCTCGGTCCTTGCATTTCCCGTTGCAAGCACTGTGCATGACCCTACATCGGTGCCCAATCAGGGCATGCTTTTGAGCGGGCAGTGCATGCAAACAACCCAATTGACCCACTTTTTGGGAATTGCGCTTGTTTGCGGGTTTTTGCAGGCGTTTTGCGGGTTTTTGCGCTCGTTTAAGTGGTACGAACAAAGAGCATTTCTCACCAAGCATGTTTAGACTAAACTTGCTCCGATTTGCGCACCACTCCCCCGCAGAGCTAGGATTGAAGGGTGTTGATGGAGGGAAGAATTTGAAGGGTTGTTGAGTTTAAAAGTTTCAGAAGATTCGAACATCAGGTTTAGTGGGCAACATCAAGCTGAGTGAGAGAGAACACCCTGTGCAAGAAGGAAACACCCAATACTTCCAATTTCTAGGCGTCTTAGTCATTTTGCGGTAAAAATGATACGAAACAGGCAAAAACGATACAATGACCAAACACCTACTTTTTTTCTAGTCGTTTGAAGCTGCAGGATTCCCAATTGCTAGCACATTTGTAGTTCTGCAAGTTGCTCACAATCAGCATGCAATGCAAACCGTCCGATCCTTGCTACCAGGGAGTTGGAGAATTGCCGCCTTCAAGGCGAGCAAGTCGGCAACTGATGAAGCCTTTGAGTTACCTGCGCCCTCTTCAAACAGAAACGACGGTTGCGCCTAGAGCCGCGGACCCAGCGGACCCTGTGCCTGGCCACAGTGTGTCAAACTCGAAGGCACCATGCAAAAACAAGCACGCGTGCACACAAACAACCTGCCATCCATTCCGAATGAATTCCAAGAAGCCAACTTGCATGTCCATGCGATAGAGTGACATACTGCTGATAATAGTGCTGGCAGGCACGTTGTTGTGAAAAAACGTTGGCAAAACAGCGGCGACAATATGCCCACAAGAAAGTGACAGCATTGCGAACATGGCACACACGTCTGGATACATATGTGTCGTATCATACATAAATACATAATTACATAATATGTGCCAGCCAGAAGCCATCGCTGCTGCCCAACTGCAAGCATTGGGCAAAACCCAAACACACTCCCTCATGGGCAACTCCTGAGCACCAACTTGCTCAACACACTGATGAGAGCACTGCCTGCAGGTGCACAGCCAAGCACTGTGTTGAAGGGACCCCACATTGCCAGAACAGTAACTTATTCCCACACCCTGACGTAACCCTGAAGGGGTGAACCTAAATCAAACTTTGAGGATTGAAGGCTTTGGGCCTTGAAGTTTGAGGATTGAAGGCTTCAGCCCCCAAAGTTTGAGGATTGAAGGCTTCAGCCCTCAAAGTTTGAGGATTGAAGGCTTTGGGCCTTGAAGTTTAAGGATTGAAGGCTTCAGCCCTCAAAGTTTGAGGATTGAAGGCCTTGAAGTTTTTGGCTTCAGCCCCCTTGAAGTTTGAGGATTGAAGGCTTCAGCCCCCAAAGTTTGAGGATTGAAGGCTTCGGCCCCCAAAGTTTGAGGATTGAAGGCTTTGGGCCTTGAAGTTTAAGGATTGAAGGCTTCAGCCCTCAAAGTTTGAGGATCGAAGGCTTTGCCAAAAACACAAATCCTTCCTTTAAAGGTTTTGTGAAGTTTGAGGATTGAAGGCTTCAGCCCCCAAAGTTTGAGGATTGAAGGCTTCAGCCCTCAAAGTTTGAGGATTGAAGGCTTTGGGCCTTGAAGTTTAAGGATTGAAGGCTTCAGCCCTCAAAGTTTGAGGATCGATCGAAGGCTTTGGGCCTTGAAGTTTGAGGATTGAAGGCTTCAGCCCCCAAAGTTTGAGGATTGAAGGCTTCAGCCCCAAAGTTTGAGGATTGAAGGCTTTGGGCCTTGAAGTTTAAGGATTGAAGGCTTCAGCCCTCAAAGTTTGAGGATTGAAGGCTTCAGCCCCCAAAGTTTGAGGATTGAAGGCTTTGGGCCTTGAAGTTTGAGGATTGAAGGCTTCAGCCCCCAGCCCCCAAAGTTTGAGGATTGAAGGCTTTGGGCCTTGAAGTTTAAGGATTGAAGGCTTCAGCCCTCAAAGTTTGAGGATTGAAGGCTTCAGCCCCCAAAGTTTGAGGATTGAAGGCTTTGGGCCTTGAAGTTTGAGGATTGAAGGCTTCAGCCCCCAAAGTTTGAGGATTGAAGGCTTCAGCCCCCAAAGTTTGAGGATTGAAGGCTTTGGGCCTTGAAGTTTAAGGATTGAAGGCTTCAGCCCTCAAAGTTTGAGGATTGAAGGCTTTGGGCCTTGAAGTTTGAGGATTGAAGGCTTCAGCCCCCAGGATTGAAGGCTTCAGCCCTCAATGTTTGAGGATTGAAGGGTTTGGGCCTTGAAGTCTAAGGATTGAAGGCTTCAGCCCTCAAAGTTTGAGGATTGAAGGCTTTGGGCCTTGAAGTTTGAGGATTGAAGGCTTCAGCCCCCAAAGTTTGAGGATTGAAGGCTTTGGGCCTTGAAGTTTTGAGGATTGAAGGCTTCAGCCCTCAAAGTTTGAGGATTGAAGGCTTTGGGCCTTGAAGTTTGAGGATTGAAGGCTTCAGCCCCCAAAGTTTGAGGGGTTTAGGGTTTAGGGTTTAGGGTTTAGGGTTTAGGGTTTAGGGTTTAGGCTTCACAGGATTTGAGACATGGAAATCTTTCTAGCGACGTCAATCAAAAGTTTCGATCTCAATCCCAGGCCCGCTACCAAGGGCCAGCTTCTACACCAGCGCAACTCAACAAATCGAACGCAGCAAGAGCAAAGCGGCGAGAGGGCGAATCGGTACCAACCAATGGGTGTTACGCAAAACAGCCCGCAGAGCATGAGGGTTTGGCCGGGGCTGCGCCTCATCGGGGCCGGCGGAAAGATACCCAAGGGGGTCTTTGTGGCCGTGGCGGAAGTGGAGCCGGGCTGGACAACGGCATGCGGCTGAAGAACCAGGAGCTGCTGCGGGCCACCCGGCCGAGCCACGCAGTGACCTACGCCAGCTGCCAGGGCCTCACCCTCCACAACCGCGTCCGCTTCGACCTGGAGTCATGCCACCTCACGCTGCGCCACCTGTACGTGGGCGCGCGCAGCACAACCGACGAAGTAGGCGACGAGTTGCAAGAGTCGGCGAGCGGCGATCAAGACGAATTGGCAGGCGGCAAGCGATGTGTTGCAAGGGCGGAGAGTAGCTGCGAGTTTCTGTGCGCAAGGGAAGGGGCCAGGGCGCTACGTCCGCTGAGAAGCGCTTCATGAAGCAGCCCCAACGGCTCGACGATGATTTCGAGTTTGCGTTTAGCTGAGTTGCAGCACGCCCCTCTGCGCCGTGCAAAGTCAAGAGCGTTTCGACCGCGAAAGTGCTTTGAGAGCCGATCAAGCGTAATCGCCGCTTTTCTTTATTGCCGGAAGTGGAAAAACCACGGCGCGGCCACGAAAAACATTGCCCGGCAGCCCGAAACTACGACGGGGACGAGGCGCGGCCTCACGCGCGGGCGAGAGGCCCTGACCCAGAAAGCGCCCGAACTTGGGCTCGAGCAGCAAAACAGATGTAGAAACCCGCGAGAAACACAGAGAGTTGAAAAGAAAGCTTTCAGAGCGCGCCGACTCACCGCAAAGCGCGCGCCAGGGAGGAACCGAGCCCGGGACCACCCGCTTCAGAGACGGACGCAAGACCACTAGGCCACCAAAGCTGCGGCGGGGTTGCGCCGCGCCCGCTTTTCAGCCGCGGCCAAGAGGGCCCGACCTAGAAAGCGCGCAAGTTTAGCGCGTGGCAAAAATTGCGATTTTGGCCCCGAACTTGGATTTGAACAACGAAACCGATTTACAAGCTTGCCGGACACGCGCAGAACTGAAAAGGAAGTCTTAAGAAGGCCCCCTGCGGCCCGACCCGTTGTAGGGCAAACATTTAAATATATATACTAGAGTAGAGAATAGAGGTTTAGGGTTTAGGGTTTAGGGTGTGAGCCGAAGGGATGCGCGCGCTCTTTAACGGGGCGCCTGTTGGATAGCTTTCACGGCGCCCCTCATCACTGCGCGCACATCCATAGGCCGTGGACTTGCCCACCCCAAGGCCGCCCTATCACTACTCGCTTAGGGTTTAGGGTTTGCCCTCAGACGCCGGGCGGGCTTTAAAAAAAGAATCAAGCAAACGCGCACGGAGGCAAGATTTCGCACTCCGAAGCTGAGACAAGAGCTGGCGCTTTCCTCGGACGACCATACGCCTGTTGGTCGCTGGCTGGCAGCTAGATTTTTCCTAGAATCTCAGGGGCTCCGAAGAAGCCCGGAAAGCTGAGACAAGAGCCGGCCCCGCGGAAAGTTTTCCTCGAGACTCTTTCGGCTTTAGGTTTGGCGCGCGGGGCACGCGCTGCGAGCGCTCAAACACATCGCAGTTGAGCGCGAGACGACGGAAGTTCCGCGCGAACGCCGGGCCGGCGCGCGGCTTCCGGACAAGCTCGCAGCTTCTTCGGCTCTAGGTTTTCCGCGTGGGACGCGCGGCAAAGCTCGCGGCTCTTAAACTTCGGGTTTCGCGCGCGGGGCGCGCGCTTTTAGGCTTGGCGCCGGGGAGCTCCGGGAAGCCCCAAGACTCTTCAAGAAGCTCCGGGAAGCTTTCGGAGCTGGGAGACAAGAGCCGGCGGACCCGCGGAAGTGTTCCTCGAGGCTCTCTTTCGGCTTTAGGTTTGGCGCGCGGGGCACGCGCTGCGAGCGCTCAAACACATCGTAGTTGAGCGCGGGGCGACGCAGAGCCGCGGCTTTAGGTTTGGCGCGCGGGACACGCGCCGGAGTTACTCCGCTTGGTCCACCTGCTCGTGGCAGCCTCACGACCATAACCGCCCTGTTGGTCGCTGACAGGGGCTCCGAAGAAATCAAAGCTCCGGGAAGCCTGGAAAGTCCCGGAGAGCCTCCCGGGAAGGCCCCAAGCCTCCGGAAGGCTCCGAGAAGCTTCGGAAAGCTCCGCCCAGGACAAATCGCGGGCCCCGGGACAGAAGCTTTAGCTCCCGGGACAGAAGGCCAAAGCTCCACAAAAGGAGCGCGAAGTAGGCGGCCCCGTTTGTCAGAGCCGGAAAACCCGAGAGGTTTAGGGTTATAATATATACAGACATTCGATGTCTGCATTCTCAGTAACAGAGCTTGGCGACACAGCTTGGCGACACAGCTTGGCGACCCCGCTCAGGGCTGGGGTCAGCAAGCTTCGCGTAAAGCTCCGCTTGCGTGGCCTCGCTGCTTCGCTCGGCGTCGCCCGCCTAACCTGCGTCCGCAGGAGGGTTGGCGGGCGGGTTTAGGGTTTGCGCTCGGTGGCGCGTAGAAGATACTTGGATTTGAGTCTTAAGCAGCCTTGACATGTCTTTGTAGACTGTCTGGCCATTCGGGCTTCCCGCTAGAGCGCTGACGAGAGCGGGGGCCTGAACGGCCGCCCCGCTTCTTTTCCCGCCCGCGCCGTTCGAGCGGCTCCCACCCTTTCCACGCTCCGCCTTTTAGGGCAAGTGAACCATGAAAGGGGCCTTGCAACAAAAACAGTCTGCCAGTTGGGTCTTGTTTCCCGCAATGCTGTACCACTGCTACAAAATCGTGTCACTCATGCGGAGGGTGGGCCTTCTCCGTTTTGCTGTTGCTAGCTTTGGCCCTACCATCTTACAACGAGCTTACGCTGTAGCTTCCGGATGGTCTTGCCTGGGAATGGCCGACAGGCTGAGCTTGCCTCTACATCAAACCAAGCCCTCCTCAAACGATTGCAGAAAAGGCCCAAGCTGGAGGATCCTGTCGAAGAACACGCCGCTTCCGCAATCATTTGCAACCAGGCATGAATGATGCGGGTCGAACTCCGAAAAATAAATTCCAACATCAAGCAGGATAGCAGCGAATGAAAGAAACTAAACCAGAGGGCCACCGCGGAAGAAATCGGAGCAGTGCAAAGTCAATACTGGAGAAAATATATGCATCTGTACAAACAGCCTGGAGCTCAATTTTTGGAGATGCTACAGCCCTTGAACAAACAGGGCGTTCTGTGTTCAATCCGTTCGGAGGAAGGAGAGCAATTGCTACGTTTCTCTTAAACTTGCGCTGGTTTCCTGCTATTTGCGGATAGTTGCGCTCGTTTTGCACTTTAATTGCTACGCGCTCCTTTCAGCGACCGAACATCTTGGAGGTCCGATCAGCTCAAGCACAAAGGACGCTCCAGGTACGTATAGGGTATGCATCAATAAATAAATACATATATCACATGTTTGTATATACACATACATATTACTATGTACATAGTGTATTTCAACATGACCCCACCTTGTTCAACAAAGGTCACGGCAACAGCCGATGGCGGTCTTCTGAAAGTCTGGGAATCGTCTTCATCTCCTTGCCCACTGGCACGCAGCTGCCACTCACAGCACAAGCAGCCCCAAGACGGGCACGACTGAAAGAACAAACAAGAAGCCGCCCATATCTAGGGCCAGGTGTCTGGGCATTCGCGAGGCGTCGCTTAACTTGCGGGTCGTCGACCTTAGCCTCGTTGCTGTCGAGGATGGAGGCCTCGATCAAGATTCCCGATAGAAAAGCAACATTGACCCACACAATGGTTGGAAATAGAACTGTCATGACTGGAACCTCAACAGCATGATGGCTGATTAAGCTGAAGGCAAATAGTCCACCTGCAGCGCTTTCTGCACTCTGGCGATCTCTGAAAGGACGATTCTGATGTCTTCGCCGACCTTCTTCCTCCGGCGATCCCGAGGAAAGTTGGAGCTCACGTTTGATGACATTGCTAAACTACTAAACGTATGTGCCGCCATGTTCGTCTGACTGTAGTGGCATGCGCACAACGCCAAAGAGAGAGAGAGAGAGAGAGAGAACAAAAAAACAAATGCCAATGCAAGCTGCCGCGGCGCTTGTCCGTTTGTGTTACAGGCGCGACTCTAAGCCCTGGTCCTCAAGCGAGAAACATCCTGAGGCAGGGAGCCGCAAAACTCCGTCTGACTCACGAGGCTCAGAATGTGCCTGCCATGCAGCGCGAGCCAAACATCGCTGCACGACCAAGCCCCTTATGCCCCTTCCTGAATGGAATGCAAGTACTGCGTGCTTTTGCGCAGGCATCGTCAGGGACAATTTCACCTAGCTTTCACACATGCCCAAAATCCCCTTCTGCGCCACACTGGCAGCCGGCGGGAAAACAAAGCCAACACAACTTGACTCCTTGGCTGGAAGCAAAAGGCTACAAATGCATCCTGCAGCCAAAGTGCTCGTCCTGATTGGCAATCTTGGCATCCAATGTGTGGCCAAGGTCTACGTAATGCTTGTCATCCTGCTGCTGCATTCGGAAGATTTCTGACTTTATCCTTAGTCTTCCAAGGCCCAACAGGGCCTGAGAGCCAAAATCTCACTTAAGTCAGACTAAGTTACTTTAGAGCGAGCATGCAGGCACCATGGGGCAAAAAACATCGACCTCCGACTCCCATGGGTCAGGCAAGCATCTTCTCCGCGATTGATTTCAAATAGTTCTCCCTTGGCCATCCACGGGGAACATACAACAGGCTTGCCTGCGATGCTTTTCTGCGCTAGGATTCGGCCCTGGGTTTAGGTAATGACAGGTAGTGCTTTCGGGCGCCAGAAACGACCTCGTGTATTAGTTTTAGAACATGTGGTGGGCCTGAGAATCTCAACAAATTCAAGGTGCGCAGGCATGTACTCAAAACAAATGCGTAGAGCACATGAGAAATCAGGGCACATGCCCTTGACATTGGCATTGGTCGGCCTGTTGCACAAATGTAAGTAATGACGTTTTGGCCAGCATCTTAATTGCTTTGATAGTGCTTTTGCAAGCAGGGAGGGTCTTTGCTCCATCCCGAACTACTCAACTTGACAATGCACTAACGTCATTTTCAGAGAGCACATAAGGCCCACGCGTTGTGATAATTGAGGAGATCCCCTCGTTGCATTGGCTCGCCTGATCTTCAAGCTGCCTGGGCAAGCAACGCAACTGCACGCCACGTCTTGCCAAGCGCCCAAACTTGCTCAGGGGCCTCGGTCATTAGAATCATATCAACAAAAACAAACACAAGCATCATGCGCGCCATGCCAGGCTTGCTGATGGCACTAACTCCAGCTGGGTATTGCCCAACATACCATCACCACTTCGGATGTTCAGATTCAGAGGCTAGAACGCGAGTCAATGCGATGCTTTGGCTATTTGGGCACTGAGCCTCATCGCCGTGACGACCTGGCTAGAGGACGTCCTGGCCGCCGCCAACCCCGGAAAAAATGGTGCAATCCACACAGGGGTTTTGTCTGTGCACATGGTGCGCACGAATAGTGTCAGTTGGAAACCCTGTACCGGTGAACATCAAAATAGGTGGCAAATGGATGTTCATCCATGCGCGTAAATCAAGTGTTCTGAAAGCAAATCCAAACCAATGCCCTGGCAAACCATGGAGATGACCAAGCATGACAAGGCAACAACTGCAAACTACACGCGCAAACAAAATAGCAGCCAACCAACCAACACACACACACACATGCAAACCAAACCAAACAAACAAATCAAGCAACACACACACACACACCCAAACACTCAGCAACCCAGCCACCCACTTACATATGAAGGCTGATAAGAGACGCCCGTGCAACCGCAAAACGGCTGCGCTCTGCGAACGGAACCTCGGTGGCTCCTGACTTGTTCTTCGAAGTCTGAGCGCACAAGCCCCAGCTGCTGCATGAGCCGGCTTTCCAGCCCCGTCGTCTGCTGCAAGTTTTGCCTCTGAACCTAAGCAACCAGTGCCACCTCAAATACCATATTGCAAAAGCGGCCAACCTGCCCGGAATCGATTTATTAGAGCCCTGTGCCCCTGCATTCCCAAGGATCTTCACCTGTGCATGCAGTATAACAGGTTGCTTTAACCCTGCAAGTTCGCATGTGGCATTCTTTGGCGCATCATGCAGGGCCCGTGAAACACCAAGTTGCTGTCTGCGATTCCCGGTCCACTTGCGAGGAGAGGCCGAAGACCACCTCCTGCCAAACAAAACACAGGGGTCAAAGCAGGTTTTTCAAAGGCTCGTGGAAGCAAGCCCATATATTTACGCCCTCCGCACTCATGGAATCCGATGGAATCCGAATCATTGGCTGACCCGTGGCTATAAAGTACAACTTAGGGTCACGAGGGGCGTCTCGCTTGGCACAATTGCAGCTGCTCAAAGCTCTTGATGCCCAAATGATGCGGCCCGATGCTACGTTGAACCGCGTGTCGGATTTGCCAGCTAACCAATCGGCAAGTTTCAAGGGTAGGCGCGCTTGTCAGCTAACTAGTCCAATGACGCGTTTTTTTCTGCAATCCTGCCTTGACTTTGGACATCTCCGATCGCAACTCCGTGGTCTCTCTTCCCATGTTGGCTTCTAAGCCTCAAAGGTGCTGGCCGTCAGCTCTACAAGCCGGGCGCCGTACAAGTTCTGCGCACCACGAACTTTGGCCAGGCGTTTGAACGTTCCATGCATACCGTATGAGTGGCACAGCATGGAAACTTTGAAATTAGGATGTGCTCGCTGTTTCCTGTGACATGTGTTAGTGACAAAGTCTGCGCCGTGCAAATGGGCCAGCGGCCAAAAGCGAGATCGCGCAAGCCTTCACACGCCACTGACCGGGAAATGGCCGAACAGGCGGCCTGCCGGCTGAATTGCCGGCAAGAACGGGACCGGTCTCGAGTGTGCCGAGTTTACCGCATACCGCAGGGCCGAGTTTGCAGCATACCGCGCGAGCGCCGCCAAGAACGGAGTTTACCGCGTAGCCGGGACGACATTGACTGGCGGTGACTGCGCCGGCTGAATTGCAACCAGCGCCGAGGTGACGGGAGGTGCTGGAGGCCGCGCGCCACTGGGATTTGGCCACAGAGGCGCAGCGATAACGATCGTCCGTGCGCCAGTAGGATTTGGCTTGGCGGAGGCGGCAAGGATGGAGGCGACGGCGGCGGCGCCAGTGAGATTTGCTTCTGCGGATGCAACCAGCGCCGAGGTGACGGGAGGTGCTGGAGGCCGCGTGCCGGTGGGATTTGGTCCATACAGGCGCAGCGATAACGAGGCGCGGTCGTTCGTGCGCCGGTGAGATTTGGCTCCAAGAAAGCGGCGAGAATGAGCTGGGGTCAGCCGTGCGCCGGTGGGATTTGGCTTGGCGGAGGCGGCAAGGATGGAGATTATGGCGGCGTGTGTGGGATTTGCTTGTGCGGATGCATCCAGCGCCGTGGTGACGGGAGGTGCTGGAGGCCGCGCGCCGGTGGGATTTGGTCCACAGAAGCGCAGCGATAACGAGGCGCGGTCGTTCGTGCGCTGGTGGGATTTGGCTCCAGGAAAGCAGCGAGAATGAGCTGGGGTCATCCGTGTGTCGTTGGGATTTGGCTTGGCGGAGGCGGCAAGCTATGGAGGTGACGGCGGCGTGCGCCGGTGGGATTTGTTTGTGTGGATGCAGCCAGCGCCGAGGGCGGCAAGGATGGAGGTGTGTGCCGGTGGGATTTGCTTCTGCGGATGTAACCAGCGCCGAGGTGACGGGAGGTGCTGGATGGAGGCCGCGCGCCAGTGGGATTTGGTCCACAGAGGAGCAGCGATAACGCGGGGTCGTTCGTGTGACGGTGGGATTTGAGCGACTCTATAAACCTCCCACGAATCCCTATGTCGTATCAAGTTGCTTACGCGCAAGCTTGCGCTTTCCTTACGCGACCCATGTTTTAGCTTACGCGGCAGTAAGACAGCATGTAAAGCTTACGGATCGCTTACGCGTCGGCGTTTTGAGCGTTTCCCTTCAAGAATTGCTTACGCGGGCTTCTTTTCCCGCGCAGCCGCCAGAACTGTTCAAGATGATGTGGATGACTCTGTGCAAGAGATGACGAAGAGTTACGCTCGCGAGCTTCAGCAGCTTGGCGTTGTTGTTTTTGCTGCAAGTCAAGAAACAGGTTTTTGCGGTAGCGGCATCCATCACGAGGGCTAGCGGGCAGCTGGGCTAGGCGAGCTTACGCGAACCTTACGCGCGCCCGCGCCCTGGAGGTTGCGACAGCACCTGGCATGAGCCCCAAGAGCTCCCAATCAAAGTTCTGCTAGGATTTTTCTAATGGTGAGCACATGCGGTCTTAGACGTCTTCCTGCAGCCAAAGTCCTCCGGGCAAGTTGCCAAGCTCGACTAGGTTGCAACAGCACAAGCCGCCACAAAGCGCATAAGCACATGTGGGAAACAACTCTTCCGAGCATGCTTACAAAGCTTACCAAGCAATCACGAAGAAGAGCTTACGCAGGTGCTTACGCAACATGTTTCCCCAAAAAGCGCTTACGCCCGCTTACGCCGTGCAGGCTTTTGCTTACGCGGGGCCTTGTTATGACACAACTCTTGCTTGGGATGTAACGGGGGGTTTTTAGAGCTGCTCATTTGGCTCCAGGACAGCGGCGAGAATGAGCTTGGGGTCATCATGGGTCATCTGTGCGCCGGTGGGATTTGGCTTGGCGGAGGCAGCAAGGATGGAGGTGATGGCGGCGTGCGCCGCTGCGGATGCAGCGCGCCGAGGGCGGCAAGGATGGAGGTGATGGCGGCGTGCGCCAGTGGGATTCGCTTCTGCGGGCGCAGCCAGCGCCGAGGTGACGGGAGGCCGCGTGCCAGTGGGATTTGGTCCATACAGGCGCAGCGATAACGAGGCGCGGTCGTTCGTGCGCCGGTGGGATTTGGCTCCAAGAAAGCGGCGAGAATGAGCTGGGGTCATCCGTGCGCCGGTGGGGTTTGGCTTGGCGGAGGCGGCAAGGATGGAGGTGACGCCAGCGTGCGCCGGTGGGAATTGCTTCTGCGAATGCAACCAGCGCCGAAGTGACGGGAGGCGCTGGAGGACGCGCGCCGGTGGGATTTGGTCCACAGAGGCGCAGCGATAACGAGGCGCGGTCGTTCGTGCGCCGGTGGGATTTGGCTCCAGGAAAGCAGCGAGAATGAGCTGGGGTCATCCGTGCGCCGGTGGGATTTGGCTTGGCGGAGGCGACAAGGATGGTGACGGCGGCGTGCGCCGGTGGGATTTGATCTGCGGATGCAACCAGCGCCGAGGTGACGGAGGTGCTGGAGGCTGTGCGCCAGTGGGATTTGGTCCACAGAGGCGCAGCGACGCGGTCGTGCGAGCGCCGGTGGGATTTGGCTCCAGGAAAGCAGCGAGAACGAGCTGGGGTCATCCGTGTGCCGGTGGGATTTGACCTGGCGGAGGCGGCAAGATCGGGCAAGCCTGTTCGCGCCGCGCTCGCGCGCGCGCGCGCCGCGCGCGCAAAATTCGATGTGCTCAACATCGCATGCGCCGCCGTCCCCTCTGAACCACCTAGCCAAAGACATTGCGAACAAACCAGAATGTTGTTCGCTGACAGTCATTCACACATATTTGTTCGCATCTTGGTTTTTGGGTTCCCCGGCTCTCTGTTCTTCTTCGTGCTTGCTGTGTTTTTTTCATGAGTGTGTGTGTGTGAGTGTGTGTCGTGTTTGTGTGTTTTGTGTTTTCTGTTCTTTCTGTGCGGCGCGGGCGGGGCGGGCGGGGGCGGGGGCGGGGGGCGGGGCGGGGGCGGGGCGGGGGCGGGGCGGGGCGGGGCGGGGCGGGGCGGGGCGGGCGGGCGGGGCGGGGCGGGGCGGGGGTGGCGGGGCGGGGCGGGGCGGGGCGGGGGGGGCGGGGCGGGCGGGGCGGGGCGGGGCGGGGCGGGGCGGGGCGGGGCCGGGCGGGCGGGCGGGCGCCCGGGCGGGCGGGGCGGGCGGGCGGGGCGGGCGGGCGGGGCGCCCGGGCGGGGGCGCGCGTGCAAGCAAGCGCGTGCGCGTGCGCGTGCGCGTGCGCGTGCGCGTGCGCGTGCGTGTGCATGTGCATGTGCGTGTGCGTGTGCGTGCGCGTGCGCGTGCGCGTGTGTGTTTGCTGTGCTTGTGACAATTGGCTTGGATAACATGCCACGCGCTGTGACTCTCACAGGGCACCGACTGTTTCAACCAAGCCATCATACGCCGTTGCTTTGGTTTGGCTAAGGGTGGACAAAACGCAGGATGTCCAAGCAACCAGTGCCAAGGTGCTGGTTGATTGCTGCTCTCTCCCTCTAGCTCTCGTGAGGCCAAGCGGCGCTTCATTGATTGCTCAATGCGAGTCACCACATCTATTGTCAACTCCCTTGAGGAGTGCATGTGGTCTCCCAGGGCGGCATTGACCTGCACAAGCGGCAAGTTTTGAGAGCAATGCCACCTGCCTGCAAATTGGTGCCCAGGGCGTGTCCTGTTTTTGAGGCACCCTTTTTGGGGGGAAACCAAGAGGAAAGCCGCAATGGTGCGAGGTCCCGCATTTTGAGACACCTGGCCTGCATCTGTTGATCAAGCCGCTGTCCCAACTCCCAATTCGAGTGGGTCAACAGCTCCCGCAGCTTGCCGAGCGCATCCTGTTGGGCAGCGGGGGATGGCTTGGACACATCTTGGCTGATAGTGGGCTATTTCTGCCGCATGACAGGGCTTATATTTGTTTCAGTGAACAACAGAACAATCAGTGTTTGGTAAGTTATTGATCGGCCAACAAAACGCGTATGCCTCCCCTATCGTCGCTTGCTGCTTGAGCTATCATCCAGTTGGCCACGCTGGCTCTGACCGAATTCATCCCAGGCACTTTCTCGGCATGCTGCCTTGGCTGCAGCAAATCACGATTCCAGCGCGTCACACGCGAAGAAAATGCCAGTGACTGCCACAGCGGAAATTGGCAGCCCGGACTGCAGGTACATTACTTCGATTTGCTTGTGGAAAGGAGCCATGAAACATCAGCTTCCGTTTGACACGACTTGGGCCAACGACTCGTCCAATGGAGGTTCCCTTGGAAACAAATGGGATGTCAAAACAGCCGGCCACCGACAAAACCTTTTCCGGTGACTTGCCTTGTGCTGCTTCACAGCTCTTTGCTCGTGGGCTAGGTGCGAGTACAAAGGCTGTTTGCAGGCAACATGCGTTGCAACTAGCATTGCAGGTTGCGTCTCATGTCATGAACCTAGTTTTTTGTGAATCTATGAGTTGCTCCGCTGACCGCAACAAGTTCATGCAGCGACCTCTTCAGCCCCTTCCTCAGAACGGGGCGCAAGCTATCTGCCACCAGCAGCAGCTTGGCTGCGATGGGGTTCCGCATAGCGGTGGCATTATGCGCCTCGCCCTTCAGCAGGCCCACAGCCTGTGCAGGAATTGCCATCCGGAACTGACTGCCTGAAAGTCTTGCGGCAAAAGCGTTGAAAACAAAGAACTCCTAGGCCCGTGGGTCAATAATTGTCCGAACCTTGGTGGTAAGGGCCATCAGCCAATGATTGCGGTCAGCAACCTCGCGCATTATTTTGTGAAAACATTTAAACCATATTCCTGATAGAGATACTGGAAGCCAATGGCCCGTGACTGCCACCCCGTTTTTTCACAACTTTCTCTATCTATCTCTCTCCCATCTAGTCCGCCAAATGCGGACGGGCAAATAACGCCTTCGCCTGCAGGAAGGTTATCGTAGGTTCCCGTACATGAAGAAACGCGACTACCAGCCGTTCCGTCGGCAAGCTATGCCGCCATGTCTATGCCACGCGAATAGACCACACTTGGATCTGGACTGCAACCTGCAACATTAATTCAACTACACTCCACACGCTGCGATTTACGAAGCGGAAGCCGTCTGCAACCCTTTCGCTTTCCTTCACGGCTCCTTAGAACACATCCCAGCTGCTCCTCGGAGCCGCCACCCGAAGTAGGTTGGGCCCGTGTAAGAGTTGCAGTTGGCAGTGGATCCGATTGAAATCATGCCAAGCATGGATAAGCCGCAAATCATGGGTCGTTCAACTGGCATCTGCATTTGCTTCAGAGTTGCATGCGGACGCGAATTGACGCACACGCGATCCGTCTGCCTGCTGAATCTCTGCTCGGATGTCCCCCACCAGCAGCGCCACAGCTTGCTTGCACAGCCTTTCACATTTCATGGCAGGAACAATCGCCGAATCTCAACATTAAGGAAGTGGACAGGGAGCCACCCCAAAACCATATACAGGTTTTGACTTCGTCCTGGCGGGCACATCATGGCTTGGGCACGCAGCCCTCAAAGCCCAGTTGAGCGGGCTCTATTTCTTGGCTTATGACAACACTCTGAGTTTAGCAAACTTTTTAGAACAGCAACTCCAAGCCGTCGGTCTGCGCGTTGACCTGCTTCTTTGGGACGCCATTGTCTTTCTCCTTGGGCAGGCAATTTTCGCCCATCTGCGGAGGTGCGAGTGCTGTCCCGTGTGACAAAGCACACGTTGTCAAAAGCGGTCACCAACCGGCCGCTTCTTCCAGAATCAGTGCTACCTCCTGTAAGCGACATACATGGCTAGATGTCGTGAGCGACATGCATGGGTGTGCCTGTGCTCTAAGTGCATGCAAGCAGCAGGCAGCGCAGGAAGCATGGCTCGTTGAGCCTTCGGCGTGTTGTTTGCCATGGCAGGCAGGCTATGCACAACCGCTTTGCCGAGGTGATTCCTGGAACAAGCAAACAGCAGCGGTACTAAACTCACTTTACGGGCGCCAAATAGATTGCCGCCCCACAGGTTATCTGCCAAGCCCGTGGCAAGCACAACTGGCGCACACTCACAATCACTCTTGCTCACTAAGTTTTCCACACGCCCGTGCTATTACATTAACTCTGCCACATTGCAGGAAACAATGCGCAGCAGGGCTATCCCCGCTTGCTTGCGCTCGGAAACCTTAGCTAGTTTGCATGCGTAGCTAGCTCGTCGTTCTTGCGATGCCACTATGCCTTGTTTCATCTGGACATTCCTCTTCCGCACTGCGCTTGGCGCTGCAAATCAATTACAACCTCAAGCACAAAACATTTGCCAGGAAAGGTCACTTGCACTCCTGCATGTTTGCTCACTTGGGCAAGCAGTTGGCATCCGCCAAAGAAACAGCGCAAACCCCACAGCAAATGGTCAGCGTTCAGTACCCTGGCCCTCTGACGTTGCGTGCCGTCATTTCCAACCTGAGGCATCGCTAAGAAAAGCCCCTGCATAGTGAACACGTCGAACACCTAGAACCCCAAAAGGACAAGTGTTCCAGCCTCCATCACACAAGCTCACAATAGTGCATGGCACATGTGACATCACCAAAAAGATTGCGTGAGGGAGGAACAAACCAATAAACACAAACACACACACGCACAACACACACAACACATTCACAACACACACACACACACGCACAACACACACACACAGACGCACAACACACACACACACACACACACACGCGCGCACACACCGACGCAAGCAGACTCGCGCACGCCATTGCTAACAAGCACACAGGCACACACGCAAAACACCACGCTAAAAATCACACACACACACACACACACACACACACACGCAAAACACCACACACACACACGCAAAACACCCCACACACACACACACGCACGCACGCACGCACGCACAATCACGCTCAATCACACACAATCACATACAATCTCACACAATCACACTCAATCACACACAATCACACACACACACGCCACATATACAGTACAGATACAAACAACAACACATACACACACACAGACACACATGCACACTCACACACAAATACACACAAACACACACAAAAACAAAGACACAAAGACACAAAGACAGAAATACACAAAGACAAAGACACAAAGACACAAAGACACAAAGACACAAAGACACAAAGACACGAAGACACGAAGACACGAAGACACGAAGACACAAAGACACAAAGACACAACGACACAAAGACACGAAGACACGAAGACACGAAGACACGAAGACGCGAAGACACGAAGACACGAAGACACGAAGACACAAAGACACAAGGACGCAAAGACGCAAAGACGCAAAGACGCAAAGACGCAAAGACACAAAGACACAAGCACACAAAGACTCACAAAGACACACAAACACGCACACACACACACACAAACACACAAACACACAAACACACAAACACACAAACACACAAACACACAAACACACAAACACAAACACACAAACACACAAACACACAACAAACAAAACACACACACACACACCACACACACACACGCGCGCACACACACACACACACACGCGCGCGCGCACACACACACACACACCCCAACAAATCACACATACACACACAAAGCACAAGCAAAATACACACAGAGACGCCAAACTAAAAACATGCACATACAAATGCAAAGCCACAAACACAAATCACAATCACAAATCACAATCACACACACACACACCAACAAAAACATACACACACACACCAAACAAAAACACGCAAAACACACACACACAGACACCAAACTAAACATTCACACATACACACACACACACACATTCACACAAACACATTCACACAAACACACAAACCACACACACAAATCGTACACACACACACACACACACACGCACCCGCGCTCACGCCCGCCCTTCTCGCCCCGCCCACCCCGTGGGCACGCCGGCGCCTGGACGCCCAATCCCGGCAAGCTCCTTCTGGGCGGCCGGCGATTGATCACGAAGCTCGTGCGGCTGCGTGGACCGCATGAAGTCCGCCCCGTACTTCCTGAGCGGGTGCCGAAAAGAAACTAGGGCACTGAAACAAGCCACGTTGATTCACCATCAAAACCTGACGGTAAAATTGGCTACTCGTATCCATAAAAGCGGCCGCGCCTATTTCTAGCCCAGACTGTCCCTTGCTAACCTTTATCTGATCTTATGGCTTACCCCAATTTTGTGCCAAGCAAGACATGACTGCAAAATGTTCGACGGGACTGGGCTCCCCCACCAGCATGCCAAGGCACCAGCTAGCAGCATCACCTGAGCCCAAAGTTGGCAAGGGGCACCTTGGGTACTCTCCTTCCTTCCCATCTGTGGCCGGCCGGGAATGGCACTCAACTCAAAACAGTTGATCATTTACTGCCCGCAGCCCGAGCCCATCTCCTAAGCATTGCGTGAAGATAAGGGCTGCGCGGCAAAGACACCCACGACAAGAAAGATCTGCCACGACTCCAGCGACTCCTGGTGACTGAGGGCCCTTGGCATGTTTGCGTTCAGGGTGATTTGTCAGACAGGGGGTCCTGTTTGACTCAGTCTCCTGTGCCCGCGGCTTGCGGCTAAACATGCTTTGCGATTCCCGGCAATCACGTCGTTGCGCAAGTGAGTAATTTGCTGCTCCCCCAGGACAATTTGCTCCCCACCTTTGGAGGCAGGGTGCTCGAGCAGGGTGCTGTTGCAGGTTGCTGGCGCAGCGAATCAGAGTTGCGCAGGGTGCTGTTGCAGCGGCCTGCTAGGATTGAATCAGTTTTCAGGCGCAACTCCTCTCCCGTGTTTACAGGCCGATGCAATTCGCTAGGAAAAACAGCCTGCAAGCCTGCGTGTCATTGAGTTCTTCTGGAAACGTCACAAAAAAGGAAGGGTCGCCGACGACACCTTTGTCAGTCACGGTCAACTTTTTTCTGGCAAGCAACTGTTTTCCCCGCAAGCAAGTCTGGCTGACCCAACGCAGAACGAATCGTAAAATATTCAATGGCGAAGCAAGAGCCGGCAATGGGACGTCAGCTGCAGAGATGCTGACAAAAAGTAAGGTGATGAAACTTTCTGCAAACACCGGCAATTTTGCGAGCAATTGCCCACGCCAAGCAGCCTGCGCCAAGTAGCGGCGTGGGTCAGATTTGCAGCAACCTTTTCCGAAAGTGCCAATTGAACCGTCTCAGAAGCCTTCTTATCCAAGTTTGGGGTATCTCGCAGTCAATCCAGCATCCAGTTAGGTCAGCACGTGCAGCGAAACAAACATTTAGGTTCCAACGGCAACGACCTTTGAGGGTCCTGGCAAGCCATGTGGCTCTGTGATTGGCAGGTGCGCCTGCCACGCCCCAAGATGACGACGTCAGCCCGAGCACGCGCGTGAAATGAGAAGGGCAAATTCCAAGGCCGAGGTTGGCTGGTTCGACTTGAACTGTAAGGGTTTGCTGCATGTACTTTTGAAGGTGTTCTCTCTCTGACTTCAGGCCAGTCGCCAACGTCCGATGGCAAAAAAACAACTTACTTGAAGGCATTTTGGAAGCTCAGCAGCCGGAAGGGCAGCATGGATTTCGAGGGTGCCGTTTGGAAGAGCATTTGATCAGCGCAAATGCATTCATCGATAAAACGTTGTCGGCACACATTCCGATTTGGATCATTTGCGTGGACTTGTCCAAAGCATCGACAAGGTGAACTGGTCGGCTCTTTGGCGAGCGCTGTTGGAGCATGGCGTCTCTGAACATCTCGTTTGGCTCTTTGGATTCACCTGGAAACTACCAAACTGTTGCGCTCCTTCTTGTTCATGATGCACACGTCTTCAATGAAGTCCTCCATATACCCACCTGCAGTGCATCCAATTCTCGCAGTGGAGGTTTGATTGGCAAAGCCATTCTGACTGCTGGAGAATCGTCGGTTTTGAAATCGATGCACAAATTGATCTCTTCGCGCAGAGCTTCCCAACAGAAGAAGCGAAGCCCGGCAGTTCACTGCCTACGTCTCTGCAAATGAGCCGCCAAATTTCATAGCTGCTGATGAGCTCTTGGCATAGTCCACAATGGCCACCTGGAAGCGGTAGTCCAAAGAACAAAAGCTCAAATGGCCGTCCCCCCTCGTGCAGCACATTAGCCATGCAACATTTCCACAGTGTCAAAAGGCTCTAAGTTCTACCATGCCCAATGCAAGTCTCAGCGCCACACCGTGGTGGTGGTCCTTCCGCATGCCATCTCACGCCCCCCAACAGAATCGTAGATGCTGATCAAGACTTGGCGGTGGCTCAAAACGGTAGCCAAACCTGTCAAGAGCCCAAAAGGGTTGTCTCCCTCGCTTGCACTTCCGTGCAACTTAGGGCCAAGTATGGGAACTGGTTGCGACTGGTTGCGTGGTTTTGCTCATTCACTTCGATGCATGGGAGCTGCGACAAATCCATGTGATCCGTCCACAATGCGAAGGTCCCAACTATTGAGACCTCAAATCAGAGAAAGGCCAGGTGTTTCCAACAAGAAAAAGCACAAAGGCCAGCCTTTCTGGTCACAACCCTCCGACGCGACGGGCTCCTGTCGCTCCGCTCGTTGCACAATGGCACCCCTGGAAGGCCACTACCTCAGTCATCTCGGCGGTTTTCCACGTGGATGGACATCAAAATCACCGGTTGGTAGGCGGGCGTGTCTTTTGGGGACCCAAAATAGTGGTTTCCTTCGGTTGCCCCTTTAAAACCACCAAACATGGGGGACACAAAAAACGACACAGCCATGTGGCGTATCTCAGTTTTCATAGGGCTTCATCCATCCAAACTGAGGATTTTGTCGCTGGCCCTGGCAAGGGTGGAGCGGATGGCTCTCACATTTCCAGCCCAGCCATACGCATCTGGAATGCCAAGCATCAGGAACATAATGCGAAACACACAAAGGCACGCAAACAAACAACTAGTGGGAGTGAGTGAGACAAAAACACACAAGCACTTTTGCAGCCAACTGGAAACCTCGATGTGCGAAAAACTGACCGACGCAATACTTAGCCAACGGCAGCCGACCATCGTTCTCTCACTCTTGGCGATCTGCGCAGGCCGCTGCTCGAGGCAGTGTTCCCCTTTTCAGGTTGTTACAGCAAAAACCAAAAGGCGAATCAATATTTTGGGGGCTTTGATGGTCCCCGGTTTCGACACGTGCCCACCCATGATGGCCCTTGCACGCCCTTGCACCTGGGAGTCACGGCACTGCGAAAACTAAATGGCTCTTTGCCACTATGCTCCATGCATCATTGAAGCAGCATTGATACTGTCAGTAGAAGACACTGTTTGTCTGGACCGATTCTAGAAAGTTGATGGTCTCGCCCATGTCAATCCCAAAATAAAATGTCGGGGGACATCAAACAACACTTACTATCCGCAAGGCAAGTCTTCTGCTGGCTGCCTGGGGTGTGGTTTTGGAATCTAGCATTGCATGGACACGTGCACGGGGAAGAACGCACTTGCCCCACAAATTGCAGATATCCCATGGTGACATATATCTGCCGCCAACTGCACATGGTCTCCGTGGCCCACGTGAGAAAAATCACATTTCTCTGCCTCCCTGAGAGGGAAAAAACAAAAACACGGGTGGCCGCCCTGCCATGCGTCATTTCCCTCATGAAAAGGAGAGGTCCAAGGCGTCCCCACATAGCTGGGGATTCTGCGCCGCCCTGGCCTCCACAAAGAAGCTGTACCCGGCCATGCCCTCAGCTCCGGGAGCGCGAGGGCACACCAGCCTGCTTGGAGGCTGACCTAGTGCCCCAAACGGAAAAGTCTCAGCCCGGCTGTGTTGTTTTGAAACATGGAGCAGAATAAAGAAACGAGCATCAATAAACAACTGGCGAATGCTATTGCGCGCAAGCTTTGGCACCCCAGCTCAGCCTACTTCGCCATTGGCACAGCTCAGCGTGCCACGTGAGACTCCAGCCAGCCGATATCCGGCACTGCCTTTTTCTTCAACCTGGAGGGCTGTCGTGAGGTTGTGAGCCGTTGCTTGTGGAAGTGTCGCTTCTGACAAGTCCTGCCCAGGCTGTTTACTTCTTTCAAGGTGACCGGACATCTGGCACACTCATGGCTCAACAAACGCCGCCTGAAGCGACGGACACTGGAGCACCTCCTCCGCTCTGGGCCAATTTTGAACACGGACCGGATTCCAAGCATAAAACGATGGCAACAGACCGAGCACGGCCAAAGCAAACAGCTCGACAAAGCTTGACAAGCCTCCAATGCATGTTCACCCTTTCTGGTTGAGTTGGGGCCCCTGCGCTTTGCACTGCCAGTTCCTGAGAGGCAACCTGCAGCCCCACGTCTTGCAACTCTCGCGTGCAAACTTGCAGCTACATGCAGTAAACGGCAAAGCGCGTTGATCTGATCATTAGCTTAAGTCGTACATATACGTGTATATATACATATATATATATATATCTACATATAGCGGACAGTGCGGCAATGCGGTAAAAGGTGTGAAAGGGCTCAGGTCTGAACTCGCTGAGGAACCCTTTCTCTGACGCCTTGTAACCCCAAAATTTATCCCTCGATCCTTGCGATCACTTTTCGCATCTTTTTCCGGGGGAGGGGGGGGCTTGGGACTGGACTTGTGGGCTGGAACTGGGTGTGCTGGGCTGCAAGGGGTTCAGCTTCAGTTGAACAGCAGCAGCGCTTCAAGGTGGCAGCGTTGCGGATGCAAAGGATTTTGGCAGGGCCTTCTGCGGCATACCGTGTTTAGTTGAACTAGGGGTTGCTATGAATGAAGCAAAACATTGCCCCCTAATCATCCACAGGGCTTGGGCGCAGGGAAGCCAAGCACACACGATTTGCCCATGCGCACTTGCCTTTTTACTCGTTGCTTGCACTAGCCTTTCTTCATTGCGTGGTCTCTTGGCTGCACCACCAATCATACCCACCAACCCGTCGAGCATATTAACCCGAAGGGTGGAGGCGTGAAGACCGCGGACAAGACGCAATGCCCGATCTTGCAAGAAGCGACCAATGAGGAATGTACAACATTCCGAGAGCCCACAAAGCCCTGCTGCCCAAACACCTCTGCATGACCAAATGTACGTCGGTTTTACCAAGCGGCAAAACTTGTTCACACCTACATTTTCTCAAACGGGATTATAGCAACTCCCCAGCAACCACAGCAGAACGTCGGAAAGGTCCTTTCCAAGAGATCTATATCCGGCTTCCCCCTATCCCACTGGATCCGAAACCTCCTAAAGCCTGACTGAGGAGCTGGCTGGTTGTCCTCCCTCTCCTGGAAGTCGCCATTGAGTAATGCATACCTCGTACATGTTTCTGGCCGAAGGATGAAGTTTGTGTTGAAGCAGGGCATGTTGGTTTAGGGATGGTTTTGGGTTGACTAAGCGTTGTTTTGAAAGGTTTTGGGATGGGTTTGCTTCAAGCGGTTTCATGCTGACAATTCAAACTTTCCGGCGAAATGTTGCTGCTTGAACCATGGGCTCCGAGCGCATTGGGATCTGTTCGCTTCTTCTTCTGGTTCCTTGACCTCAGTGACCAACCCTCCCTGGCCCATCCCCATCCAGTCAGTCACCTGAGCCGCACGCTTGCCCTTGAGATCGTAGCGCGTCACGGCCTCGGCGAAAGACAGTCCGCCCGCGCTCGGGTGCCACGGTGCCACGGTGCCACGGGCACCGCAACAGGTGCAGCTGACGCAAACGACCCTTCAGCTGATCGAGTCAGAAGCCTGGGAAGAGAAGGCATGTGTCTTCAGCCGTTCTTGCGTTCAGCAAGCAGAATATGGCTCCAGAACGGCCAAAGCGAATGATATATGGAACACTTGCTGACTCTAACAGTTTGTGGCGCCTTTAGCATGCTGATTTTTGATCAATCCAGGTTGCGGACAAACCACTGACAATCTGGCTCAGTCCTGGTATCTTACCAGGCGTTGCTTTCTAGGCTGCTTGCAGCTCCTCCTTGGATCTTCTTCTCGAGGTTGTAGCCTTCATTCGCCATGATCCTTGGGTCATTTGCAGCTACTCTTTCCCGCCCTGTCGCTCCCAGATCTACAGACAAACCGTCAAAACGATAGAGGCTCCAGCAGGCAAAACTCGTCGAAGTCAAGCATTTTCACTCGCACCTCATAGAAAACAGAAGCCGAGGCCACAACAAGAAAGAAAAGCCATCTGAGGTTTGCACCAGGCCATAAATTCTCTGAAGCAAGGAGTAGGGGTGACGCCGGAGATGTGATCCTGAGCCACTCGGCTCCAATCAGTGCCCCAATCCACCATGCTGGACGATCACCATCGACAACATAAGCATGGCCGCGCAGCATGTCTGTCATTAACCATGTGACGTCAAACGTGCGGCTGGCTCTCTGCATGCCGTCACTCCCGCAAACCGAACTCAACTGGGCAACACGCGGCAAACCTCCCACCAAGCTGAAGCCGAAGACTGAGCACCAAGCTCATGGGGATGGCACCTTCTTTGGATGACCTCAGAGCGATGCCGATACACAGCAAATCACAGAGCCAAGCTCCGATCCATTCACTGGAGCAATATCGTAGCACGATGCCACAAGGGTCTATCTAGACACTGGAGGTTGACATGCCAAAAGCCCAAACAACAAACTGTGGACTCCCGTGTCGGCAAGCCAGCTGTGAAATCCACATGACTGATCCCGGCCCGTGGTTGTAAAGAACAAGCCTTTCTGGAGGTATGCCTATGACTGACTCCCCATCTTCATCTGCTCTGGACAGCAAAATTACAGTCCTTCAAAAAGCGTGCAAGTGGACGCAAGGCAGGGTAGTCTCCAGTCTCCCAAAAACCCTACTGTCCACTTGCATGTTGCTTGTTCTTGAAAAAGGTCCGTGATTGATGATTGTGATGCCATGCTTCCTCTTGTGATTCGTGCTGATACCGGCTGTGGGCTCTGCTGGCCATGGATCAGCTTGCCAAGGTTTTTGAACTCCTCAAACCTCGGATGGATGAAAAGCACACCGACATGCCCTCGTCTTCCAAGATCCCAAATGCGTTCTTCCAGCTCCCTCCATTGAAATACTTAGAACTCCCTGGCGAGGAAGATAGTGCAAGCCTGGTTCGATGATTTTGCATTCGGTTTTGCCAATTCTCAAAGTCTGTCCATGATGGTGTCCAAACGAGGCTGCCAGGAATGCGGCTTGGGCACCTTATGCTAATGGTGAATCGGCCGTCATAGGTGGTCGCGAAGCCTGGCAACACCAGTTTGCTGGAACCTCCCGAATCAGCAAGGCCCATCGGCCGGAAGCGAGAGACCACCAAAACGCTTCGTCCTTGCCAAGATCGAAGCAATCACGAATTGGCTTTACGGCCATAATCCTTGCAGCATTGCATGAAAATCCTTTTGCAGTGCATGACGAATGAACCCACGATCTCCAGGCTTCAGCAGCAACGTTTCACACATGGAAAACGTGGCCCGTCAAACCAAGGGCACCCATTCGCCATTCCAGTGCCCAGCGCCCAAGTGCGCTTTCTGAACTCACTCCCATCCCAAGACTTGCCTGGCTCCAACCTCAGCCACGTGCGGGTTTGCCGGGCCCAGATGGCGCGGCAAGACCATGGCATTGACCCCTGGCGCATCGGGTCGTTCGAGTCCTTAGACTTGGGCCTGCGACACATCTGGTGCCGGACTGGCATGCGACAAAATCAGCTCAGGGCGGTTCGTTGCCACTTCCCACTTTGGCAGCCTTCCATTTCTCCCCCAAAATTTCCCGAGCGGCTAAACGCTTCTCAAAGCTCAGCTGGCACTGCATTACCAACTGCGCAGCCCTATCAAATCCCAGGCCTATGACTTGTTGGACACGCTATCAGAGAGGCAGGCCCTCCCCTCTCACGTGTTTCTCATCACCAGCCGCACCCCACCGAGCCACAGGCCGAGCGAACAGTTCTGGGCTCCCGGCGGCCGAAGGGGCCCAGACCTCAGTGACCTGCGTGGGATCTCCTCTCGTGTCAACGGCCCAGCCCATGTTGAAGGATTTAACGGCGCAAAGCCACGGATTTACCAGGAACTTGGAGTCTCCGGTTCCTACAATGGAGGACAATATATACATATATATATATATATATGTTATATGTAATATTGGTAAATATGCACCTGTGAAAATGATTTATGATAAGTCAGAACCTGACTTGTCTTGGGGGCTCTCTTGCAAGGTTGGCGTGACTGCGTTCTTCAGCCCCTTTTATTGGAACGTACTGCGGTTGATTAATGTTTGCACCCGGATTTCCAGGCCTCTCCAAATCGGCGGTGATGTCTGGGAATGCGCCTCCCGGGCTCGCCTCGGGCGAGCTAAGACCTGCGCACTGTCCTCACGTGACACGTGAGCTCCTGGCCGCCTTTTGGCGCAGCTCTGCGAACTCTTGCGCTCCAAAGACCTTGGCCTAAGCACAGGATCTGGTGGGGGAGAACCGAATTTTTGAGCCATGGCCATCTCTGAGTGACTGCCTGGCCATGGTTGGCCATGCTATGGCCCGAAGTGTCTACCCTTTGAGATTCCAAGACTACCCTCTCTCGAGATCGAGTGAAATTCTACGAATGGCTCAAGGCAAGCTTGCAGGTAACGGGTCCCAGCCTTGCAAGCTTCGTGTGGGAAGAGCACATGGTAGGCTTCGCAGAATTTGCTGTGAACCTCATGCCCCTGCGCAGGAAGGTGCCGTAAGTAAGAGCATGCAAAGACTCTCAACAACAGCACTTGTGTCTGTTCAAATGCTCCGCCCGCCCTCATGCAACCTTGCCCACACACTTGCATGCTTCAAGTAGGGCAAGCAACGGACGCATTGCAGGCGCCTCCAAGTCTTCTGCGCTCAAAGCACGGGCCTGGATGGTGCCTGGCCCAAACATCCAAACTTGAATTCGTTAGATTGCAGGCCACAGCCCCTTGCCTGAGCCTCAAAAACTTGCAGCATCCTGCATGATGTATACATATACATATGTGTATAGATGTATATCTCCATATACATATAGATGTGTGTATGCTGTGAACTTGCACACACACACACACATATATATATATATAATTATATATATACACCTATGTGCCATTCAAGTACTCAGTCCAACTCCACGAATGTGGGCGGCGAACTGAGGGACAATCGTTGAGGCTGCGTTGAGGCTTCATGCTTGTGCTTGCCTCGCTTGAGGCGTGAAACCGGTTGCCCTGATACCGAGCCGGTGTTGAGCAGCATTCATCCACATGTCTCAAACAGGACATTCCAGGCTAATAATTCCATTAAGCCATTGTGAAGAAAGCCATGTGGCTGGCAAGTTCTCTATGTGTCTTTGTCTAACAAACCCGACCCTGAATATTCCTTTTGGCCTCAACAGCCAAACACACAAAACGGCAACCGCATCCCAAAGCACCACATTGACATGCACCACGTGCACCCCCATGCCTGACCACTCGCCCTGCTCTTTCAGCTGAACCTGGCGCAGGAAAAACTGCTGTGGAGATGGGTGAGGACGGGTTCGGTGAACGTCGAGAACCGACCGTGCAGTCCTGATGAGTGGAGAGAGACGTCAAAGCCTGCGCGTGGCAGCTTGACTGAACTGAAGCTGAGGATTCATGTTGCTTCGGCGCATCATATCCAATCTTCAACCACATTTCAATTTCACAGCCTGTCACGCTGAGTGCAAGGCAGCTTCACGAAGAAGGGTCGACATGCAGGAGAACTCAGAGATCTGCAGGCGGATTCGGCACGCTTCTTGACAAGTAGACTGCCTAGATTCACGGATTCAAAAACACGCACATGACATCCAAAGAAGCACGAAAAAAGCAGTGCACAATTGCCAACCTTTTTCCGCCAAGGCCAACGAATTTTGTGTGTCGAAGCCTAGCTGAGGTGCGTCCCTCCAGGGCTCGGAGGGTGCACGAAGATGCGGCCATTCCAAGCATTGGGAACACATCGGGGCCATGACTTCGATGTCCAAATCTGGGCTTGGAAGTGCCATTGGCACAAATGAACGCGCAAAGACCCGCGAGTCGCGTGAGCAAGTTGTTTGTGAACGACGGAGCAGCTTTGGATGCAACATGCGCTGACATGCAATCTTGCCCTCAGTTCAAGGCAACCTTCTACTCAAAATACATAGGTATGTATATATATATAAATATGCATACGGAAAGTAGATGAATAACTCTATTGCACATGCACACATACTTACATGATTGTGATGTCTCTCTTCAACTACCGGACTTGGCAAGACTCTCTGACCTCTGCTAGCAACTTTACTGTATTAAGTGTGGACAGGTCACAGCCCATTCGGCCGCTTACCTTCAGTGGCCGGTACTGCTGGAACTCAGCATCTCATACTCCTGGCAGGCTTCGACCGGCTTGGCTGTCCCCTGAAACTGGCACATGCCACAAAGATGCCACAAAGATGCCACAAAGATGCCACAAAGATGCCACAAAGATGCCACAAAGATGCCACAAACATGCCACAAACATGCCACAAACATGCCACAAACAACATATCATCATGATGTCATTGACATGGACTTCCCATCTTCAGTCCCCTGGCCCGGCTCTCTCCCAAGCTCCCAAGCTCCTTCACAGGCAACTCTGCGGGTTCCCGCAAGCCCCGAAGGCAATGCCTCCGGTGGAACTGTCCCAACCACAAAACAGGGCAGTTGGAAGCCTAAGCCTCTGCGGTGCTGCGATTGCTTCAGGCAGGTTCTGCCTTGTCAAACCCCTGGAACGAAACATCACTCTCGCGACTGAGGGGGCCTAGTGATGAAAACAAAACACATCATGGGTTGGGAGCATGCAGTTCCTGATTGCCGCCAAGGCTGCACCATGAGCATGGCATTGTAGACGCCGTTGAGCAGTGAGGTGATGCAGGAGGCCAAGTGCAGGCCCAAAGCCCCAAGCCCCAAGCGGTACCTGGCTGCTGCACACACCGACGGGTCTGTCGGTTTTGGAGTTGGTCCCCCGTTTTCCTTGGCTGCAGGAAGCCAAAAGGAAAACCACCCATTCTGTGGGCAAAAATTGTGACACCCTGACTTGTGATCTGAAGTGCCCGCTCTGCAGCATGTTGTTTCAAAGTTGGGTTTCCGTTTAGGCCAGTGTTGTTCCTAATGTTGAGGGTAATTGCTGTTGGAATCTTAAATGATGCGGCTATGCTTCATGGTTGTGATTGTAGACTTTGTTTATCCATTTCTGGCCGCGATCGATTTACGCGAGTGGTTATCATGCTTATACGTTGTTGGTGGTAGTCATATAGTGCTCTGTGTTCTGTACATACGTGCAGCCTGGGTCACCAAAGCAATCACCTACCGCCAACCAGAATGCAGGCGGCACCACAAAACTCCACTGTTTTCGTGCCAACCCTAAGCATGAATCAAGCCCAGGGCTCGGAAAGCAGCAAGCCCCATCTTTGAAAGGTAAGGGGATGGCCGGATGGCCTTTCAAACCGTTCACCACCCATCTGTTTGTATCCTTTCTGAGGTCGCCTTAGGGAAACCGATGGAAACCAAAGAGGGGTCCACCCGTCTCGAGGCTCGTGAACGAAAAAACCCCATCCGCACTCGCCAGGCCCACCCCAGGAACCACGCGCCGGGCAGCTGCACAACCTGTGTGGAAACTCTGTCCGGCCCTTTTTGGCCCGACCCCGCGTATACGGCAGTCTTATGAAAGTAGGCCTACATGAGTGTGCTTTTCACTCTTTGCACCTTTTTCCCTAAAACATCGGAACTACTTTGGCCACGCTTTGCCTGGCCCGTGCCTCTTAACACGGGAGAGAAATCGCACACTGGAGCCCTTAAACCCTAATGTTAACATAGGATTAATTTAGCCATAGTATGGAACAGGTTCCACAGGAACCCCCCAACCCAATTGCTACACAATTGGAAAGCTGGAATTCGTAAACAAACAAATGCGCAAAAAACATGTCTTTAAACAAGTCCCCCACAGCCAACCCCCAAAATTACTGAGGCCCCACCTCAAATAAAGGTGATGCCGCTGCTGCCTTTTTGACATCACGTTTCAGACCATGCCAACGATGGAACACTGGGCATATCATCAAATTTCATGGAATCTCCCAGTACTAAAGTAGTGCTGCCAAATTCTAAAGTAGCATACTAAAGCAGTAAACCTTCCCGATTATTTCAGCTCCAGAATCTCCCTTTTGGAGGAACAAACCTTCTGGACCGTCTTAGGCGGGGTTACAAATCCGATGCCATCCATGATCATCAAGTATCACCTTCGGGTTTGATTCAATCTGATTCAACACGCCTTCTTTGTATTTTGTTGCAGCAAAGGGCAAGCAAACAAGAAAGCAAACAGCCTTCAATGCACCATGGTCACGCCATATAATATGCGTTGCACACGAAGCCTCACGAAACAAGCGCCTCCAAGAACCTGAGAATGCAGCAAGCGCTAAGCACCAGGCCCATTGGAACGCAAACAAACCGGCCGAAACAGCGCCCTGTCGGCCAAGACCAGCGAAAACTCCGCTGCACAAGCTGTTCACCTCAGGTGAACACCACGTGTGAACCATGCGTGCAAGTGGTCGGAAGCCAGGGCCTGCCTCCATTTAAACAAAAATGGCCGCTTCTGGGAGCCAGTTGCCAAGGAGAACGCATCTAAGATGTCTACGCACTGCGACAACCTTGATCAAGCTACTCAGCTGCATCTCCCGCCAGTTTGTTTCAGGCCCAAGCCCCATCTGCAACCAGCTGCACAAGCACGCATGGCAGCAATCCTCAGACGAAACGGCCAAGCGATAAGCGGCCAACCAACACTCCGCAACACTTCCCTGGCATGATGTCCGTGGCTAGGGTGTCAACGTCAGATGTCAGTAGAGGTGAGAACAGGAATGTGCATGGCACGGCATGGAACGAACGGTGCAAGCTGGACATCCACCTAAGGCTTATCTTGTGTTAGTTCTCGTTCAACCTACGCCAGCCCACACTCACATATTCCTGTCTTTCCAAGTCCGGCGACGACAGTTGCGCGTGTAAATTGTAATTACTCTTGAGTTTGGAACGTTTGCCTTCCTAAGGAATTCTTGTTGACGGGCTTTCGGAAAGGGCTTTTCGGGCTCAAAGCCTAGGGCTCCAAAAACCTGCATGTTGAGTCTCTGCTTCCTCGGGGTTGCCCCTACAGGGCAGGTTTTGCATCCAATGTTTCATCAAGGTCGGTCCTGATGGTGACCTTGTTTTGTTCGGCCAATTCAGCTCGATATAATGGATCAAGGTTGATCTCGCCAATGCAGCTCCGAAGTGGCAGTTACGGGGCTATGGCGCAGCAAATGCAGAGTTGTTGCGAATTCCCATAAGTATCAGTGAGTTTGCCCAAAAAACATATTTCAACAGTATCATTTCTGTTAATATGTGCCTGCGTGCCGTGCGACGGCTTGCGTGCGCGCGGGAGTTTGTTTGTTTGCGTGCGCGCGTGCGTGGGTGGGTGGGCGGGCGGGTGGGCGGGAGGGCGGGGTGTTGCACGCATTTCTCAGAATAGTGTGTGTGTAACTATATCGATGCAATATACAGGATTGACCCCTTTGCATCGCAGCATCCCTTGCTTTGATTGTTTGGTGGTTTTGCTGGTGCGTGTCCGTTTCAAATTGCTTTGGATCATTGTTGGTTCTGCAAATCCCCAAGGCGTGATCTTGGATTTGAACGCAGCTCCCTTTTCCAATGGGCGTCGGTACATGCTCTCAAGCTCACAGCGTCAACATGTTGAAGTTGTCAGCATGTGGCTATCAGGCTCAGTTTGCAACTTCTGCATCTATCCGCAACACGTTCCGCAGTTTTACCTAAACATCCTGAACCCTGTCTTGCTTCTGGTCCTAAACATGCGCTGTTTTTGTTGTTTCGGTTGATGTATACAATCATTTTTCTTAAACAATATGTTTATTTGTCTTTGTTCTTTTTGTTGTGGGGGGGAGGTGCGGGGGCAGGTTGGGGGAGGCGCAACATGCTCTTTCGCGAACTTTGTTTCCTGTGCGTTCCCTTGCGTTTGCTTTGCATGACGCAAAGCAAACCACCAATTGTTTGGCCCAGGAGCTGTTGAAAAGCGATTGGGTCACCGGCTCCTCCGGCAGCAAAGTGCTCGTCAGCCTTGCCCAAACCCTTCGCTGCAAAATACACTGCCCGGAATCCGCCAAAACAAATCCGGAGTGTGAGCGCATCGACATGCGGGCACTGAAAGCCACACCGTGTCTTTGCTCTTTGCTTTCCTTTGGCAGAAAGCTCAGGGGACACGGAAAGCTGATCTCTGGGATGGGCCCTCAGTCAAATTGATCGATCCCAAGTCCCAAACGACAGTTGCAGCGCACTTCGCAACCCGCGCTTCAGGGCAAGGCGCTCCCGGCGAAAAATCCAGCAACTCATCGAGAGCCCGCTGCACATCACGAGTGTCATCCTCAAACACGCCTGCAAAGGACCGAAGCAGAACTCCAAAGCACAACCCAGCAAATCCCAACAGTGATCTGAACAAGATCCAGGCTGGACACCACTGTGAGTCCATGCAAAACATCAAACGTAATCTTTTAACGCGAGTTTGTCTGTTGCAGGCCTTGTGGAACTCCAATGTGACGCATTGTTCCCAGGATTTAGGCCAAGCAGGCTTGGGCTGTTGTGTGTGTGTGTGTGATTTTTGCATGCCCTGGCATTAGAACCCTGGCACAGCCTGACACGAAAGGGCGGTATTGAAGTCAACTCATGAGTCTCGCGAGTCAGG